CACACACCACGCCCTCTCAGCTCCCCGCCACAACAGCGGACTGTTCCTACAGCATCGATCGATTCACCGACCCGTCTACATGCGTGCCACCCCATCATCCAGACCGATACCTGAGGGGCCCCATGGGGTACGCACCCCTATCCCTGCGGGACGCAGAAGAGCGCGCCAGACGAATTATTGGCAGCGTCGACGCTCTCTTCACGTCCCCCTGACGACAGATGAATCATCAACAGAACAAAATACAGTACGGGAGTCGTGACATTCTCGGGACCAATTTCGAATCATTTCGTTAGCCTTCAGTGCTGTTTAAATATCATTGTTTTTTCTTCCTTTACACTCCGCACTTTATCCCACGAAATGTAGTTACATTGCGTTCCAGAACATGTCTCTATTTCCACCCACTTGCCGCATTAGGCAAGCATGCTCGCCTCTTGTTTCTTGTCCCGTCGTTTCCCCATTGTCCAAATGCATCGGTTACTCTTCCTGCGCCCATGCCATGGCAAAACGCGTACGTAGCGTGGGCGTGTCACATTTCAAAGTGCGACAGATGACGTGGTGGCTTGTCCCGCGTAAAGCATCACCACCGGTCCAGTTTGCCAGTATTCCACACACAATGTGAGGCCGGAAACGCGTCTCCCGCATTGATTCTCCGAAATCTTGCTCACAAGAAGAGCATCAATCTCGTGCAGCTGTGTCCGCGTTCCACCTTGGCCCAATGCCACGGCCACGACGCACCGCCACCCTCAACCTCGATGCCTCATCGGCAGTCAATCCCGGCCGTGTCTTCAAAAAGCAGACACACAACGTCAAGCACTACACACGGCAGCCGGGAGCGGGAGGGAACCTCCAGTCTATTAAACGCGAGAAAAACCCCGACTATTGTACAGCTCCTCGCTAGCAAGGCTACCATGCCAGTCTGCCAGCCAACATCCTGCTCTAATGCCCCCGTTAAGCAAACATACGAGATGGCAACTCTCCCATCCGTCTATTCAAGAGGTCAAGAAAAAAAAAACCTAGCCACAACGTTCGGCTTCTAGTCAAAATGAAAAACAGGGCGACAGCAAAGGCGGCTTGTCCGGTGCAGACCCAGCGCTTGGGCCTACAGTTCCCCTTGCAAACGCGTGGCGTGCTGTCCAGCCAGATTCCCTTTCCTTTTTTCTTCCATCTGTCCTTTGTGCATCATGATCCGAAGGAAAGGGTATTTACTTGGCGATTTCCACGCCGCCCGTGGCTCCCAGCATCTTCTTCAAATCGCCGTAGATGGCAAACTGACCGGCTGTCAGGGTACCAACCATGAAGAGACGAGCGCCAATGCCAGAGTAGGAGCCGCGGAAACCGAGCTCCTTGGCAATCTTGATGAGGCGAGAAGTGGTGCCCTCACCGGGGAGACCCTTGGTCTTGTTGATCTTGGAGAGCATGGTGTCGGCGGGCTGGGAGACAAGGGCGGCGGCGAAACCGGCTGTTAAACCGGCAGCCAGGTTGGCAACAGTCTGCATGCCATCGGAGAGGCTCTCCTTGGGATACTGGCGGAAGATGGCCTCGGCAGCCTTTTCGTAGACGACGAACTTGGCCATGGTGTAAGGGATCCTGGCGAGTCGGGGTCAGTTTCTGTGCTCAGCGGGCAGGGCATCGAGTGCGCCGCGGCCCGGTGAGCCGGGAGGGCGGGGGGACGGGGCGCTTACTGCTTGAAGAGGATGGGGCCGAAACCAGCGTAGAAGGCGCCGACGCCCTCATTCTTGAGCATCTTGGAGAAGCCTCCAATGAGGCCGTTGGCATACGTCGGCTCAGAGACGAGACGGATACGGGTGGCCTCGAGGGGGCAGAGGGCGATGTCGGCGAAGAACTCGGCGGCGGCGGAGGAAGCGAGGTAGACAGCGGTGCGGTTCTGGGAAGCAGTCTCGTAGCCCAGCGTGTTGATCCACTGCTGCTTGAAGAATTCGTAGCCCCCGAACTTGAAGGCGCCCTGCAGGAAGTAACCGGCAAAGGTAGGGCCGACACCAGTCAGGAGAGCGCCAGCACCCTCATTCTGGATGACCTGGCGGAAACCGCCAATCATGCCGCGGTTGTAGGTCTTGGGGTCGAGCTGGATACGTGTCTTGACGCTGTTTTCCGAGAAACGTCAGTTACACCTGGGCGATGGATGGCATAGAGGCATGTCAAAGGTCGCTGAAATTGACGGGGGCGGTGGGCACACAACGGCGCCCGGCTTCTCGCAAACGAGGGGCGCTCTGCGACAGAAGCATCGGAATGGAATCGGGACAAAACATACACGTCGACGGGAGTAAGACCACCGTGGGTGACGGAGCAGCAGACAGCCCCAGCAAGGGCGAATCGGGAGTACAAAGCCACGCCGGAGAGCTGGGCAGGCTCGGCAGCCTTGACGTTCTGGACTATGGCATCGACCTTGGCCGAGCCAGTTGATTTCGCGTCGGTGGCCATTGTGACGGACGGTAGATTCCTTCAGACGAGACTGAAGAGGACAGGTACAGAGTGGAGTTGGGGAGAAAGAGTGATTAGGAGAAGAGGTGTCGACGCGGAGTGGGTTGGGAATCAATAAAAAGGATCGCGGGTTCTCTCGCCCGGAGGAGCGAGCGGATGGACACTTGGGCTCAGGCAACTCGGGCAAGGGATTGAGAAAAAAAAATTGTTGCTGCTTCGGAAACAGTCGGGTCTTCCCATTGGACGTGGCAGCCACATGCGGTCCACTCCGGCCTCGCTCAGGCACAGCCATCAGCCACTTCTCTGGATTGGCAGACACTTGACTTTTGCGCATGGAATGCGCTTGTGTGGGTCTGGCCTCGCTGCCTCGGTCAATCCGACCAGTGACGCTCCGTCATCCCCATCTGGTAGAGTGACTTATTCCGTGATGCCTTTCCATGCTCTTTCCAGTCAGCAAAAATCAGTATTCGATGAACTGCGGACTACTCCGGACACTAGTGCCTCGGTACCAGGTACCGACTTACTTTATACTACTTAAGTACTCAACCGACGATTGACTTTGTCTGAGCCACCCACCATGGTACTCCGTACCAGACTCCGTTCCCTTTTCCGATCCCCCGCTGGCCATCCTGACCGGAAACACCTCGGGTGATCCTGCAAACCATCCAGCACGCCAAGCCCGCCAACGTGTCCATCGCAACGCCTCCTGATGGTCGGCAACTGGTCAGTAGAACTATGAATCAATTGCTGTGCATTGTCGCCGCTACCTGAGGAGCCTCATCCCAATGTCCAGCGTGACGGCCGTCGCGCCATCTTAATCACTCATATATTCATGGCTCCTGGCGTCGGTGACGTAGAATGACCACGGACTGGATTGTCGTGGTCGTCGTCCAAAGCAGCTACCCCATACATTCCCAGCCATGCCAAGGTCTCCTGTGTTCTACAGCACTGGTGTCGACGAGTCTATATTTTGCTCACTGTATGCCAAGGCATGGATTAGAAACTGTGCAATTGCATTCACTGTCTAATCTAGTGGAGTTTGTTGGACTCACCCTGTGATCATTTCTTCTGCCATGCACCTAAAACACACAAACTTCACTGTCGTGAGATCCTGCAGTAGGCTCCACCCCCACTTACACTAACACATAGTTATCCTATGCGGCCACTAGAACAGGGCCAGCGTGATAGAATCAAAATTTAGTACAGGAGCGCTCGTCGGCCTCGCCAATGTACGCCTCAATCGTCAGATTGCTCAGTACGATACTGCCTCATTCGTTCACGGCCTACGGAATCGACGGACTTTGACCGTGCTTGGACACAATTGTAACAAGGGCTGGTCACTGGGATCAGGACTTGGAGCATACACTCCTATGCACATATAACATCATATGATCTCACAGGTCCTGTTTCCTCGACCTGAAGGACTCGACCAACGAGGCTATATATACAAGGAAGTGCCTGTGAGTGTGACCCGACTAGGTGATGGAGGCTTGATGCCTCGTGCCCTTGGTGCCTTGGTGCCCGAGCCCACGAGTGGCCTATGAGGGCATCGTGATAGCTGCGACCTTTGTGCATTGCAGCTAGTCATGTGGTTGAGGCTCTTGACCACAAGTTCCGTGTAACAACAATGCGTTGTGGGCTAGCTAGAGAAACCACCAGAACCAGGGCCTGCGCTATAGAGGGTCGTTAGATGGACCGGCAAACTTCCCGGGGAAGCACTAGAAGCTCGTTTCAGCTTACGCAAGCCATATAGTTATTGCTTGGACAACTCGGACCCATTTGAAGCAATTGTTATGAATCAACCACATTTCTGCAGGCAATCTGAGCATGAGCAAAGTGGCCGGTTTGTAGTCGGGTGTCCGGGTAAATATTCACGGACGATGGATCTGTCTCCGAGTTTTATGTCCGTTTAGTACGGGCTCGCTGTGGCCTGGCCGGTGGACCTAATTTCACATTAGTACTATGTACTTTGGTTGCCTCGAGTCCCCACCAGTGCCGCCACTGCCGAAAAACAACGGCGCAATTAGCTCTGCAGTGACGCCATAGAATTTATGGGTTTTCGTGCACCGAGCTTCACCGCTGCCCCCCTCAGGTAGATCGCGTCCAGTTCTAGGTCTGGGGTCCCCCCCTTCAACCCAGATCGATGGATCGCGGCAAGCCTCACAGCAGAATTGGTGTTAACAAGTCCCGAGCTCGTTTGCTTTGTGCCGTTCATGATGGTGCGGTTAGTCGGCACTTGGCTAGCTGCCGATGGGATGGCCCTTGGTTGCATGTGGATTATTCTGCCAGGGATCGAATTCGATGGGGAGCAGTTGTCCGTCAAGCACAATCGTGATTCATCAATGACGAATGACCCCACCGCAGAGACTCATCCCGGTTAAAGTTTGAGGGTGGGAGCAATCCATGGAGATAAGTCAATGCTCCGGCCGTCAAGTTCGACAACAAAAAGGGATCTACCCCCCTTGCTGCCGCCGAGAACGTTCGCACCATTTGATCACAAGCTACCAGAGCCACTACCGTAAACCCGTCGTTCAGATTCTATCCAAGCCAACAGTTATACAATGACCGATTACAAGTTCGAAGGATGGATGGGCTTAGACGCCGAGTCCGCCAGGGGCAACATGGTCTGGCAGGAGTACGAACCGAAACCATGGGAAGAGACAGATGTTGACATCAAAATCACCAATTCTGGCATCTGCGGGTCCGATTTGCACACTCTCAGATCAGGTTGGGTAAGCAGAGAGTCACCCATCATGATGAATTCCTTACATCGAAAGGTGTCCAGCAGATAATGTTTGGACAGTGCTTGCGTATCGAACTCGGCGAGTACAAAATGCTGACATCTGGCTTGCTGTACAGGGTCAAACCCCTTACCCTTGCGTTGTCGGGCACGAAATCGTGGGCGTAGCCGTCCGCGTCGGTTCCAAGGCTGAAGGTGGAATCAAGGTCGGTGACCTTGTCGGTGTTGGCGCACAATCCGACTCTTGTCTGGGCCGTGATGGCCCTTGCAACGAATGCAGCCATGATTCCGAGAACTACTGTACCAAGGTCATCAACACATACGCTTCTGTACATAGAAATGGAGGAAAAGGATATGGTGGCTATGGTTTGTACCACCGTTGCCCCTCACACTTTGTGCTCAAGATTCCCGAAGGACTCGCCCCAGAATATGCCGCCCCCATGCTCTGTGGTGGCGTAACTGTTTACTCACCTCTCAAACACTTTGGAGCTGGCCCAGGCAAGAAGGTCGCCGTGGCAGGGGTTGGCGGTCTGGGGCACTTTGCTGTCTTGTTTGCCAAAGCATTAGGCGCGGATGAAGTCGTAGGAATCTCCCGAAAGGCTAGCAAAAAACAGGAGGCTCTAGACCTGGGCTGTGATGATTACATCGCAACCGATGATGACAAGGATTGGGGGAAGCATAATGCCCGCCGTTTTGATATCATCATCAGTACAGTATCCTCCGAGAAGGTAAGCCAAACCGCGTTCTTGCTACCTCGCAGCTCAAATCGACGACGGACGGTTTCAAGTCTTTTTGACTAGATGAGGAGATCATAGCCTGACTAACATGCGCGATAGATGCCTCTAGACACTTATCTCAGCACGCTGGGGCTGGATGGTACACTGGTCCAGGTTGGAGCGCCTGAAGGCCCTGTGCCGTTGCGCATTTTTAGCATAATTCCCGGCCGTCGCAGAATTGCTGGATCCGGCATCGGCAGTCCGAAGGAGATTCGAGAAATGTTCCAGCTGGCCGTTGACAAGAAGATCAAGCCATGGGTTGAGAAGCGTCCGATGAAGGAAGCTAACCAGGCAATCGTGGACATGGAAGCGGGCAAAGCAAGATTCCGATATGTGCTGCAGAATTAGAAGGAGCTTGCCAGGTGCATATTCTCAAGCTTGCCCCATTCTTTTTTTTTTTTCTTTTTTTTTCTTTGGAATGCAAAATCCACGGGAGACTGGCCGCAGTGACTAGAAGAAGAACCTGAGGCATGATGAGGGTAAAGAATATTATTAGTCTCAGAAGACGCCGACTCAAGTCACCAGCTTCCGAAGTTGGCTGTTATTGTTTTAGAACTGAAGTGCTACAACTACTAGCCTGATATGGTAGTGGTATCGGGTAATATCAAGTCGAATGCGTCGTGGTCTATTTTGAGCCGGGGACCAAAGGGACGGGCTGGCGGAATCAGAGAGTCAGCACCCCCAGCCGTGTGTTTGTCTGATTGTGCCATCCGGCGACTGATGGCTGGGTTCCTCGTCATTGGAACAGGGGCACGCAGCATGGTGACATGGAGATGCAAAAGACGCCGTTATGCTTTGGGAGCAACGAGAGATGAAAGTGGGCGGGCGGAGAGCTTACAATGGAGTAGTCAGTCACCCCCGTATTCAACGCACCAAGTGGGAAGGAGCCACCGACGGGGCTTGCCCCAGTGTAGCTACATATCTGTACGTACAGGTGCATTACATATGCACAACTCCAGCTTGATCTGAAAATTTTTTCGTTCGGGATTCTGTTGACTCGTTCTTCCTCCAAGCCCGTCACGCCTGCCGCGATGCCGTGTCGTCATTTTCTTTATCGCGCCGGCGGGTGACACGGGTGACACGGGTCAGCTACCCAACGCAGGGGCCGTCGAACCTGTAACACGCACCAATAACGAGACACCGCCTGTAGCACGACCTACGAGTGCAGAGCTGACATTACAATACGTTCTCCTGGGACCTGACTCAACATCCAGGTGTCTTACGGAGTATTATTAACTGAGATGAGTCCGAGCTGGATGTCACTGGTCACCGGAACGTGGAAGGACGCAGAGCCATGGCCGTTGCCGCAAATTGAGCTGCCCACAAAGGAACGGTGTTATGGAGCGGACAAGACGGAGCTTCACCCAATAGGATGCTCTCTTCACTAGGGCAACGGAAAAACCGCTTGGCTCACAGACTTGGCTGTCGACAGGCCCGATTGTGTTTTTGCAGAGACGGCAATGTTACGTACCTTAGACGGAGTAACATGTGCACCTACTCCGACACCACCCCATGCATCATCACCAATCCGACGGTGTCAGCAGCATATTGCTCCCAATCACGAGTCGCAAGACCCTTGAACAATTGATCCATTTACATTTCAGCAACCCGCATCTGCTCTGGGCAGAAAATGATGCTGTCAAATCTGGAAGCAGTTGGCTGTCATCCACGCATCATGTTCTCCAGAAAAACGCCTTGGAGCCAATACCCGTTGTGCCTTCCCCCTGGGATGCTCTCTGAGCGTCGTCAACTGACGAGGAGACATGAAAGGCAGAGCGAAAAGACACGGTGGGAAGATCGATGCCAAGCGCCTTGCAACAATCCAGCTTAGCAGACTACGTGCTCGGGTCCGCCCAGCTGACAGTCGGTACCTTTCAAGGCCTGGTTATAGTTGTCACTAATAAGGCATTGGGTCATTTGAGGGTGCCATCCTCCTCAACTGAGCTGGACTCTGTTTGACAACGATGCAACGCGAAAAGTGTCGTCGGGTGGTCGCTCACACCACCAGCACCACCTGTTTGTTCTATTTGCAAGCTCAAGTCTGCATGATTGGACAATGAAAACAGGGCTGTCAGTTCACCAACAGATACACATATAGCTTTTCCTGCCCGGAACTTCTGCCATGCGAAAGAGGAGGCTTGACCCTAGAAGCGCCTGCCCCTGGACCCCGACGCCCACCTTTCGGCTTAGCTCCAGCCTGCCGCTCGGGAAGTTCGGCCAGGCCAGGGCATGTCGACGTCGCCAACCAGATGGATCCATACATACATATATGGATCGAGCCTGGGCCACGTTGGCATGAAGCGCAACACGCCAGAAATCACTAATAACCAGTTTCGCGAATAATTCTAGGCACTTCGACCGCTCATAGCCCTGCGCAACCGCGAACAACAAGGACAAGGGTGAAAAAACGACGATGTTACATGTTACCTCTGTGCTGACATGAAGTTGGGGGTGGTTTGACGCCGACCCCTGTGCATACCCAACAAACATATTGCTTGGCTGCCCTCTCTGGCAGAGTCTAGTGTGACTTGGCATAGTAGGATTGGCCTACGACTGTTCGGCGCCAATTCCTTGTCAACTGGTTTAAAGTGGTCGGGTGAATGCCGCCGGAGGCGAGCCACCCCTGCCCATGGCGTTTGTAAAGCTGTGATGCAGGGCCACCTATAGGCCATGGAGCACAGGATCTCGTATTTAGGCTGCTACTGGCAACCAATGCTGGCGATAGCCGTGCTTGCCCGTTCTCTTCAGTTTTCTCGTCCCAGAACTCGGTCGGCAGCGTCATAAAAGGGAGTGGACGCCGTTGACCTGGGCAGAGCTTGTTCCTGTTTCCTCTCCTCGTCCACGGTCGTTTCTTTAAGTACTTAGTCCATCGTTACGAAGACACTCGCTACTTCGCCACTGCTTGAATACTTGCATCTGAATTTCTCGTCGTTGTATTATATTAGCAAACCACCACAAGAACTCGGTCACTCCAAGTACTGTCGAGATGAAGACTGCTCTTGTTGTCGGCGCTCTCGCCGCCTATGCTGCTGCTCACACATATCCCAACTGTGAGCATGACAACTGCTACCGCGCTCTGATCAAGGACGGTCTCCAGGACAAAGCCAGGAACTTCTGCTCCGGATGGCTTGCTGGCACTACTACCCTGGACTCTGCTATTCCCACCGACTTCAACAACTGCAACAACGTCAAGGCCGCCAGCTCTGCTTGCTCCTGCGTCACTTACAACCCTTCTCAGACAGCTGGTCCTTCCATCACCTCTACTCCTGCCCTAATCAGCGAGGAGCCCTCCACGACCACTCCTACGACCACCGAGTCTGAGCAGCCTCCTACAACGATTCCTACCACTCAGGCTCCCGCTACGACCACTCCCGCGACCAGCCATGCCACCACCAAGTGGACGACTTCCACCGTCTGCACCACCAAGACTTACACCATCACCTCTTGTCCCACTGAGGTGACCAAGTGCCCCGCTGGTCACACCACCGTCATTACAGAGACCATTCCTATCTATACCACAGTCTGCCCCGTCACCGAGACCCATGGTCCTCTGCCTCCTCCTCCCCGTCCTGCTGGCAACCAGACGTCTGCTCTTTACACCACTCAGATCTATACCATCAGTTCTTGCCCTTCTTCTGTGCCCGATTGCCCCAAGGTCGTCACCACCGTCTACCCTACTGGCACAACCATAATTAAGAGCTTGACCTCTGTGCCCGTTGATTCCACCCAGCCTGCCCAGCCTACCCAGCCAAGTATCCAACCTATTCACGGTACCGGCGTTCCTCCCCCCGCCCCCCGCCCTCAGACCACTCAGCCTTCCCCTCCCATCGTCACGGCCGCCGCTGGTCAGCTTGTTGGAAGCCTCGAGCTCGTTGCTGCCGCTGCTGGTGTTGCTGCCCTCTTGCTGTAAAGGAAACAGCGACATGGTCGGCCAAGGGCCCGTTTTTGGACAGCCCATAATACACTTTTTTTTCACTTTCACTTCTCAGCTTCTTCTTTCAAGGGAGTAAAAACTTATACATGTAGATATTAAGATAAGAATCAAGGATTTTCGATGTCTTTTCAAGGTTGGAACAATGCTCGGCCATTTTGGGCGCTGTGGATAAGAATGGTACTATGACTATTTAACGCCGGCCGGTAGGATTAATAGAATGACTTTTGTATTATGCAAATGTGTTTTGTAAAATCAATCATGCTAGTTTGTTGGATGCCCGCATGCAATAATGGTGCGTAGGCTACGGTGAGTGAGACCAGGAAAAGTCGAAGATAACACGCTTTCGAATGCTGTTCTAAAATTGGTATTGTTTACGTATTAGCCGGCTTGTCAGCTTTTTGGTCTCGTCCCTTGCGTTCATGAGGCTGGCAGAACCAAGCCGCCCACGTGGCTCCGCCAGGACTCCATGTGACGGGACGAAATATTGCTGGACCCGGGGAACGACTGTCATACAAGGGCATGGGTAATAGGCACGCCCAGGTGGGGTGGATCACACTGAACAAAGACAAAAAAGGGCAGTACGTAGTCTGAACGTTTGAAGGAGAGCAAACGTTTTGGACTGATGTTGTGGCGGGACTGGCGATTAATCTGCTTTCCTATGCATGTGATCTGTCATGACAATTGCGAGACCTGAGCTGGGCGTCGCACGTGGACTGACCGACTCGCATGGTCCACGCCCGGACCTTGAAAAGCCCCGTGAGAGGGCGAAAGTGAGATAGGGCGAGAGGTGAGGTGGTTGCATTTTGCCGGATTGGGAGAATTTGGTGGCTTGGAGTGCACGCAAGTTTCCCTTTGCAGCTTTATCTTGGCCTTCAAATAAAATTTTCTCGTGAACTTGCTCGCCGTGTCGGTAAAATTAAGAACTAGTGAGGATTCAGCCGTACAGCATTAGCATTGATCATCATCGTGTTGGTGCGGACTTTGAACTGCAAAACGTCGCGGCGTCGAGCTTGTAAATGCCAGGATGACGACGCAAGGATCACGGCGCCTGTTAGGTGATCGGAACCTAGCTGAAGCATGGGCAAAGATGGCACGTTTGAGCCAGGATACGTTACTCTGGATCAGTCAGATTTCCTGTAAGCATGATCTCAGATCCAAATCTGCCGTCTATGGAAGTTGTCACTGCCATCGGAAAATGAGAAGGAGGGTGCCGGACGACACCATGGTCCGAGAACAAGCCAGAAGACGCCCATCGCCGGGACTAACAATGCTGCCGTGTTGGTTCTGAGCTATTTTGCTGGCAGACGGACTACAATTGCACCGGGGTCACCAGGACAGATGCGGTACATCGAGAATGCGGTGTAGTAGTCGTCGTTTGGTAAGATGGAATAGATGGCAAGCATGCTTGGGACTCGAGGTTGTACAGAGCGCTCTTGCGACTCGCCTGGTTCGTGCGAGACAATGAGTGTCAAGGGACGAAACGAATGCCGCGAAGCAAAGCAGGCCCGATCTGAATCCCATGGCTATCGTAGCCTGAACATCAACATTGGAGATTCGTGAAACAGCACAGCCATGATACGGAGTCGAGCTCTGGCGACATGGGGTATGCTGTCTTCTCCTAAGATCGCATAGCCGATGGAAAATTGCGTCTAGTAATCTGTAGGCGAAGAAAGCTCTCTGTTCTGCGAGGATGTCTCCCTCGATGCGAGTATTTGAGCGACTCCATGTCCTAATGCGAATGGCAAGTGTGAGATGCTGCATCAGTGCATCCTTCCCAACGGGGCGCAGCATAAGGCAGGCACCGCCAGCGCTGAGGCATCTCGCAACAAGGCTGACTGACTTGACGGCACACGACTCCATTGCACTTTCCATTTTGACGTCTTTGCCTAATATTGACCATTTGGGGGCCACCGCCCCCTGAAATGCCACTCTGCCCCGTCCCATCATTGGTTCAATGTTGCTCCTCCTCCTGAGTCCTTGTCGTGTTGGGGGCTGCACCAGCCGCTTCATCGCCTTCATCGTGCCTCACTGGACCTTGCCACCGTGGCTTTTAACGCTGAATGCGTTCTTCACAAGGTCTCGTCGTTCGTCCAGTTGCTGGCGGCATAGCCATGCCAGACTGGTGCGGCCCGCGGCCGTGACATCGGCTTGCTATCCATGAATTCCACCGAAGCGGAGGCCGCTGGTGGACACTGGACAGTCTTCATGGGGTCCCGTTTCGGTTTCTAGAGCTCGGTGTGGTTCGGGGCTGTCCACCTACGATCCAGAATGAGGCTTCTGATGATTTTGTGTATAAGGGAAGCCACAGAGCACTGTCTTCATTCTGTCCAACCGCGTAGGCCATCTCCCCTGCTTGGAATGGGATCTTGGGCGAGGTTTTATACCTTGTTGAAACCTGGTCCAGTAGCGACTTCTTGACTACAGCACCTCAATGTTGATACCACGCTGGGGTTGAACAAGACTGTCGCCTTGGTTCATTCTGATACTCTCGAGTCGGCGCACGGGTAAGCCCGTAACTACCTCAACATCTTGGCTAGTACAAACAACGCCCTAATAGACGGTATCATAGCCATGAGTCAGCTCACAAGAAGCTCAACATTCTCCTGGACAAGGAGCCACGATGGCTACACCAGAAGACTCATCAACATATGGACCGCCGCGTAACTGAACTTGCTAACTCCCTCATCAGATGGAGGCCAGCTGCATATACTGCATTTAGTCATTCTCGATCCACCTCGAACAATTCCGCGACATCGCCTAGTCCCCAGACGTTCTAGACGGAGGAAGTTTCGTCTTGCATCCCTGGGCCGCGAGGCTGGTCCCAGTTCGGCAAGCATCTGGCGCCCTTGCTCTTTGGGAGCCTCAGGGAGCCCAATCCTCCGTTGCAATGCCATCAGCCGAGTCTGCCCAACAAGGTGAAGATACAGTTGATCTACCACACTTCGCAAGGTTCTCCGTCAGTCGACATGTCTTTCTAACTCAACCAGCAATACTACTGGTTCATTACATCGTGTTCTCACCGGTTTCTCAGAACCCTCCGTGCAGACCGTGAAGAGGCTCGTCAAAAGATTTACTGTCCCAGTGAGGAATCGGTTGAGCATGTCGCCTTACCCAAAAGGCATTTGTGCCGCTTCCATGCGAGGGATCATTACGGTCGTAGCTTCTTCCATGGACTTACAACCGAAGAGCACTCGAAGGAGCTTATCCAGCGTGTCGCATGGCGTTGTAGCAGGAACTTCGGCATAGCAAGAGATGCCTTCGGCTTTGCTCCTGTCGGCAACGATTCGAGTATGGACCTAGACCAACCAGACGCTGTGCGGCAATGGGGAACCCTCGGCTGCAGGATGCAGAGGGCCGCAACGACTTGCATTGCCTTGCCGCAGCCACTTTCAGTCAGGCTTCTGTCGTCAGCAAGTATCATCTACAACCGCCCAAGCGAGGAAAAGCCAGCAAGAGAACACGGAAATCCGTAAAGGATCTTGATTCTAGTTCATGCAAGCTCCAACTTCAGTGATGGGCGTTGTTAGACTTTGGCGTTGACCCTAACCAGCACGACAACAGTGGCAATACGACAAAGCTTCCAGAGGACGACGACTACAAGATCCCGCCAAAAATCACGCAGTCATTAATCGCCAAGGGGGCCAATGTCCGTGCGAGAAACCGACGTGGAGAGACAGCCTTCTTGCAGGGCTTCTGAGGGGGAAAGGGTTTGCGCTGCAGGGTTTCAGTGTCATTGATGAATGGGGCGGTGGATGTCGCGCTCATAAAGAACCATGCTTTGGCTGGTGCGGTATTTCTTTTGAGTTCTATCCGACCGTTCAGAATTCGGAGTTCGGTAACAGACGGCACAGCCAGGAGAGGATACCCAGTGATTTGCGCAAAGACAGACGCCGGGGAGCTAGGAAGTTGGATTCACGGCTTGATACTGTAGTACAGTAGGGTTGACTCACGATTGGGCTGTGTGTTACAAGAAGACCTGCGATGCTAAGCGACAAACTTGACGCCCGTATTCTACTTTGCAACGTACCGGATTATCCTCGTCTTGTTGGGCTCCAAAGCCTGTATTTGCGCCCTGTAATGCTAATTGGTGGGCATTATGTTATATTGATACTTGTTCTGTCTAGGTTTTCATGATTAAGTCCCCCTCGTAGTGATGCCCCTCATTTGTCTATGTCATATGACTTGCTCCACTTTCCCCCCTAACAGCCCCTAAGCCCATCGGCCTGACATCTCCGACAGATATACTTCCCTGTAGCTGTACTTTCCGTGCGCCCATGTCGGATAAAGCACAGCCGTCGCACTGAAGATGAGGCCAAAAAAGGGTGCATGCGTTTTGTGCGAAGCAATCACAAGGTGAATCACAAGTACGAGGACCTTCGTAGCTGGGGGAACTTTTGATGAGCAAGTCTCAAGGTTGTGGAACCTTCACGTATCTTATCTTATCTTATCAACCGTCGATACCAAATTTCAAACTCGGCAAAGTTGCGTATCTTTAGTATCACAATCTAGACGGGGCGCAAGCATTTTTCGGCGCCTGTGACGCAAATACCGCCACCATGGTGAAGAGAAAAGTCGCAGCCCTGGAGAAGCTCGATGCAGACTTGTGCGTTGCTCGCGCCAGTCAAACGTCAGGCGTATGCTAATTGTGCTGATTACAGTGCGAGCTTGCAGTACAAGATACGCCGAGACCCCAAGTATGTCGTTTCGCTCCGTGGATATGAATTGCTCTGAACATCGCCACGACTTTGCTGACATCCGATGCTGAAAGATCATACAAGGACGATTTTGTCCAGCAGTGGGAGCAGTATGAGTCGCAGCGCGAAATCTTTCTGATGAACCCGACGGGCGGAACGGCCGACACGATCGAGTCCTTTCACAACATGGTGGATTTGATTGCCCACGTCGCCGACTGCTACCCCGACGAGACGAAGTCATATCCTGATGACTTGAAGAGGATCCTGAACCAACACCACGCTGTGCTGCATCCTGACCTGAGGGATAAGATTGTCGGAAGCCTCGTGCTTTTGCGTCGCAAGGACGTCATCGACTCTGTGAGCTTACTGACGACTTTGTTCCCCATTCTGGTGTCGTCGCCGAGCAAGACGCTGCGCGAACTGCTCTTTCAGAAGATTCTAAGCGATATGCGGAATTCAAACTCCAAGTCGATCAATCACCCGTTGAATCGGACCGTCCAGACCGTGCTGTACAACCTCGTCACTGCGGATCGATCCTCGCCAAGGGCCGTTTGGGCCATCAAGCTGACGCGGGAACTGTGGAAGCGACAGATCTGGACCGATGCCAAGCCCGTGGACGTCATGAAGGAGGCGTGCCTGTCGGACAGCGAGAAGGTCGTCGTTGGCGCCACGCGCTTCTTCTTGGGCGGAGACAAGGAGAGAGAAGAGCTGGAAGACGACAGCAGCGACGACGAAATCGACCTGTCGAAAATCAGGCACCAGATCGGCATCAACAAGAAGACCAAGAAGCAGAAGAAGACGTACGACAAGGCCGTGAACAAGGTGCGGCGGGACCAGCAGAAGAAGGCCAAGCCTCACCCGTTGAACTTTTCCGCTCTCCATTTGCTACACGATCCGCAGGGATTCGTGGAGCAGCTGTTTTCAAACCATCTCCAAAGCTCTAGGTCGAAGCTGTCTTGGGACTCCAAGCTCCTGGTTCTGCAGCTGATCACGCGACTCGTTGGCCTGCATAAGCTGACAGTCGTGGCACTGTACTCTTGGTTCATCAAGTATCTCACCCCTCGACAACAGTCAGTCACCTCCATCCTGGCGTCGCTGGCGCAGGGAACCCACAACCTGGTCCCCCCGGATGTCCTCGAACCACTGATCCAAAAGATTGCCAACGAATTCGTCTCGGAGGCAGCAGCCGCCGAGGTCGCCGCCGCCGGGGTGAACTCGATCCGCGAGATTTGCGCCCGGCAGCCGCTGGCCATGACGGACACGCTACTACAGGACCTGGTCCAGTACCGCAAGAGCAAAGACAAGGGAGTCATGATGGCCGCCAAGGGTCTGCTATCTCTGTACCGAGAAGTCGGCGCCGAGCTCTTGCAAAAGAAGGACCGAGGCAAGAACGCCACAATCGGCCTCAAGAGCGGGCTGCAGCACCAGCAAAAGTTTGGCGAGGAAGCGATCGGGTCCATCGAGGGGCTCGACCTCCTAGCCAAGTGGAAGGACGAGGAGAGGGTGAGAAGACGGCTGGAAAAGGGCCTCCCCGAAACGGCCGGCAGCGGCGAAGACGACGGCTTCGACTCGGACGAGTGGGAGGTCGGCTCCGAGGACAGCAGCGACTCGGGCGAATGGATCAACGTCGAGCACTCGGACGACGAGGCGCCGGCACTCAAGAAGCAGAAGCAGGCAGAGGGGGAGGACGCCTCTGGGCCCTCCTCCACCGCCGCGCAGCTCGAGCGCATGCAGCTCCTCGCCACCACCACCATCCTCACGCCCGCCGATCTCGCCAAGCTTCAGGAGCTCCGCGCCGCGGCCGCCGTCGAGGCCGCCGCGTCGGGCCACCGCAGGCGCAGCAACAAGACCGACCCCAACAGACACGTGGACGACGGGCTCACCGCAGAAAACATCGAAGCACCCGCCAGGCTGCGCAAGCTGACAAAGGAAGAAAAGGTGGCGCTCGCAAAGGAGGGCAAGCCCGACCGGGAGGAGCACAAGTCCACCCAGGCCATCCGGAAGAGCAAGAAGGAGGCCGCGGGCAAGAGCACGAGCAACAGGGAAAAGGCGCGGAAGAAGAACTTCCTCATGACGCTGGGCAAGGCCAAGAGCAAGCAGAAGAGAAGTCTAGTAGAGACGAGGAAAGTATTGCGGGGGCACGTCGAAAGGAGCACGAGGGGCGGGAGGAGGAGGAACTTTGCCTAGCTTTTGCACCAGGTAGCTTTGCCCAGCTCGGTGAGCAACTCGATGGGTGGAAGGGACACGACGGCTACGATATTTACATATTCCGCGCCTGTGGACTTGTGGCTTGCTGTGTGTCTATTTGCTGCAATGCGTGTATGAGAAGCCGTCGTGAGTGGACCGGCGCCTATCCTTCCTCAACAAAACCATGCTCCATCCTGCTTGAAAACCGACATGCATCTCACGGTAGACGATGTTTGCACTTCTACGACTAGGCTGCTGCTTGCTCTGCTTCCTCCATCCTGTGCTAGGAATCACCCCGTTCCATACCGACAAGTATGAGAGCGGCTTCCATGTTTTGCGGGTCAACCTTGTACACTAAAGCACTGGGCGTACCGGTTGTTGGGTTGGCTAGAATAGCATCATAAAATGAGCTGTTGGCAGGGCGTGCCGTTTCGACTCAGGTGACACAACCCCGGAACAAGTGGTACCTGGTCCTGGTTCGGTGGTTGTACTGTGGTGTTTGGAGGCGAGAACTGCTGCTTGTTTGTTTTGCTCCGGGCGTAGATAGGTTCTGCTTCGGGGAAGGGCATCGTCATTGGTGATTCTGCATTCGTTGTGCGAAAATGGCGTGGGGTACGTGGTGGAGGTGGCTGCGGTCTTGGTTCGGACGGGCTGGTCGACGATTGAATTGTGATGGGATGGAAGCGACGAGTCTTGGAAAGGTTGAATAGGAGTGTGCTTCAAATGCGAGAGGAATATGTTTGCTGAGAACTTCATGCATTGGCTTTCTTTGTCAGATCTGGTTCTGTTTGCTCAATGCTGGCCTTCTGTACAGTGAAAACATCACGGACAAGATCCTCCTTTAGCTGAACAACGGCAAGAGTCAGCAGACATGTTCGTCAATCTTTGAATAAGACCCTATTGATCCCCTGACTCCCTTCGTTCAGCGTTGGTCTGCGCTAGCCTTCCCATTCGGTGCATGCCCCAGATATTCGTGCGCCTCCGGTGGTTTCTCATCGTTTGATGCCGATGTTTTGTTTTCTTCGTCTTCTGCCCCTTGTAAAATGCCAATCTCGGCCTCTCCAAGAGAGTCCACGACATTCTTGTAAGTGGGAACAAAGTTGACACATGCGGCATAAGTCCAAGCCACAAGCATGAATATCAACGGGACGAACATTGCGTAGCCGTCACCAAATGTATCTCCTGCGGCACCCGTTGCGGGCGGGACAACTGCACCTCCGACGACACCGCCGACGATGTAGCCACTGCCGCGCTTGGTATGCCGACCCAAGCCTCGCATGCCGAGTGCGACAATGGTAGGGAAGCAAATAGACTCGAAAAACAAGACAACATAGAGCATGGAGATGCCCACATTGCCGCGCTGAGTTATTGACGGGCAGAGAAAGACGACGCAGAGTGAGATGAATACTAGAAAAACCCATCGTGGTCGAACATATTTCATGACACCGACACCGGTAAAACGTCCGATGGCGAATGCTGCCTGCGCGCCAGCAAAGAGCTTGGATCCGGTGGCGTCCGAAGTGCCCGGACGGGTGGCCGTAGCATAATTGATGAAGAAACTAGCAACGGCCACTTGTGCACCCGTGTAACAGAATTGAGCAAAGGCGGCATGGAATAGTTTGTACTGCTTCATGAACGGTTTGTCCGTGGCGCCGGCATGCGTTTCCTGAGCTTGGAACTCCATGTCTGCGCTTTGTTAGCCTCGTCCCTATTTCGCGGCCGTTTTTGTCAACAATCGGGAACATACCGGCATCAGTGATTTCTGGAATATCAGATACGAAGAATAGTGCGGCGAGCAGGAGCACAAAGATGGCAATGGCAAGATAAACCCATTGGACATTCGCGAGCGCACGCTCATCACTGAAGTTGAAGAAGACGTATGAGCCCAGAACCGGTGCAATGACGGTGCCTACGCCGTTAAAAGCCTGAGAAATGTTGATTCGCATTTCGGAGTACCTTGGAGGGCCACAGACTGCGTTGCGTCAGCCAATGCCAAATGACCACGGAGACGACGGGATTGTATTTGCGAGATATCCCACCTGTGATGTATGGGTTTGCTGCCGTCTCGAGCGACCCAAGACCATTACCAATAATGAAGATGCAAGCACAAAAGCCTCCAAAGCTCTCGTTCTTGAGTGCCGGGATGGCCAACAGAGCGCCTAGCGCATACAGACACAGGCCCCATATGAACACAGCCCGGTAGCTATAATGTCGCAGGATCCAAGCTGCGTGACCAACTGAAGCCAGAGGGTACGCGCTGCCAAATGTCAGCTGGTGCGATGACACGGACAAGTCTTTGGCCGGATACATACCCAAAATAGGCGGCCTGCAGGCCTGCGGAACGTGATCGATTGATGCCCAGGACCACCTGGAAATGCTTGTTGAGGGTATCGAGGAGACCATAACTAAATCCCCAGAGAAAAAACAAAACGGTCACTAGACAAATGGGATAGATGGACTGGCGCAGGGTCAATTCGGCGGCTCGCGTACGGCGACTGTCGTCGGCCTTGAGCGAGCGCCGCTTGACCAACTCCTTGAAGGACATGAGTAGCGGATTCGGCAATTGACGACCTGTCCTGTCCTCCCTTGGCAGGGCTTGGCAAGGCCGTGGCTGTGAGAGACGGTATCCGGCGACAACTGTTGGTGCCTGGACATTGAACGTCGACGTCGCAAGAGCAGCCGGGGACGAGGATCATTTATTGACTTGATGCCGGCTCCCCTCACACCGTTTCGAAAGCCCAGCCAAGGTGAAGGTGCTGCGACGTTGCGAGTCGCCTTTCGCAAGTGTCGTAGCATTCGCCAATGCTGCTGGGCATGTGCAAACGTCGAGTGGAGCACAACCTGGGTGAAGAAGTGAGCAACCCTCGTCGATCAGGGATGGTGGTGACACCACGACGCCCACCTTGCCAAGCGAAAAAGTCCGGCGAAGGAAGTCCGTACTCCGTACTCCGTAGTTTGCCTGCAACCAACTACTTACTGCGTGCGCACGGGTACCCCGGACTCCGTACCCGATGGACGTGATCGTGAGGCTGTGTGTCAATGTAAAGTCGTGTTTGTGGGTGGCTATTAAGTCCCGACGGCAGAGACTACTAGCGGCAAATCAAGATCCACTGCGAGGAGAGAGGCCTTGATGATTTGATGGTTCGCGCCGAAGGCTGATTTGGCTCGGATGTCGTAGCCGGGGCAAGCTTTGAAGCGGAGACTGCAATCTCCCTCGTCCCGCCAGCGAATGTGAATCAACGTGCCGGTCAATGGGCCAGATGTCAGGGGCCTGTCTGCAATCCTCCGTCAATCAAACGACTAGCCGACCGTGGCGGTTCCCCAGAATCGAGAGGGAGCGGGGAACGGCGTTTTGTGGCCTTGATGATTGGTGATGGACGCAATACAATTTCGTGTTCGTGCGGGAAACTGGCCGTGTGGGCTGGTCGCAACCCAGCTCGCTAGCAGGCAAATCATGCTGCAGATTTCCCTCCCGCCCGCACGTCTTGAGAGGATCTTTCGACAGACAGATTGTGGGGAAGACCGAAGAAGCCAATCGTTCTTTTTTTTTTTTGGATTTGAGTTCCAAGGTAACCCTGCCACGCGGAAAGGAAGGTGGTGGTGGCCTGCAACGCTGATGAATGCCATCCTTGCAACGCAAGCACTAGAAGTTTTGGAAGATTCTGTTGAAAGTTTAACGCCAAGGCAAGGTTTAAGAACGCCCAGGTAGGCCCGAGGGGTGGAGAGTCTATAGACCTCGTTGTGAAGCGATTCACGGTTGTGAGGCGGCGAATTTGTGCTCAGTTTGGGCGCATGGTGCTGCCACCTGGTAGCCGCCCGCGCCACCTGGTAGCCACCCGCGCCACCTGGTAGCCACCCGCACCACCCGCACCACCCGCACCACCTGCACGCGCGCACGTCTGCCGTCTGCGGCGACACCGCCTTCCCGCTTAAGCCCCTTTCGACAAAAACGTCGAGTTCATCGCCATCATTCCACGCCACCGCCACCACATATGCATCACATCCATCAGCCGCGCAGTAACTACTCAGAGCCGAACTCGGGGAACTCGTACCCACGCAGGACAACCATCAACCAATTTTAACCTCATTGTTCCCGGCGAACCCATGGTGACGGTCCACGCTTGCTGTCACCAAGCATATGCGCCAGCTATTTTCACCGGCGCAGTGGCAGCTCATCTCCCCGTCTCAGCTCAACAACTAACCGCCTGAACAGACATGTCGATGGCGATTGGAGCTGCGCAGGCGCGCTTACAATGACATCTTTCATCATCCGACAAGCAGCAGGATGTGCTCGGAGTGGTATCAAGCGTACGAACCAGGTCACACATGCTCAAGACATGATATTATTCGTATAATGACGTGTAGAACTGCAAGTCTTCTTTCTACGGCCCGGGGACGACGGAACAGCTCCTCTGCCCGCAAATCGGTTGAATGCCGTACATTTGTAGCCGACATGGACGCCAGGTAGCACAAAATCGCCCTCGCCGTCCAGAAAACCACCTTCCCCGCTGCCGTTTCGAGCTGACCTGCCGCCGATTGTAAGCCGAAATCAACACCAGTGAGTATGCGGTTGCAAGTTAACTGCTCAACTTGTTGGCCTTCTGTTGTTGGGCCAAGGGCCCTGCATCGAGCTGTCTGTTATCGAGGCAACGTAACCTGGGCCGCCTCGATGCTGCCATTAACAGGGAAGGCTGCCGGAGCGTTTAGCCCAAACGCTTTTACCTCCTCTTCACTGCCTCGTGTGTCGTTGGGATACGATACGATACTGGGCAGGACCGTTGCCACAGCACTGATCTCCAGAGCTTGCAGACCAAGGATACCAACCACGGAACTGCCAAAAAGAGATGGCCAAGGTCAACAATCCAAGGACCGCGGTGGCGCGCCAGCATCGTTGCTCTTCATGTAACAAAAGGTAACCGTACCGAACCGAATATTTCAAGGCGCCACAGGGACCTGCCGGGTTCCATGCAATGATGAGCACAACCTGTTTCTTGCCATCCAGATCCTTGTGGAAAACAAGGAATACGGAAAGGTGAGCGAGCTGCCAAATAGACGGGAGGATGAACGCGGCGGTAATGGTGTGTGCAGCAGACATGAACTAATTTGGCATGGTTCGAAAACCCAACTGGCCACGGACGTCGTTCTTCGTTGGCAAATTGAAGGGGCTTTCGAGTCAATATTTCCAGCCTCGGAGCCGTGTAAGTGTCGGTTATCGCGTCAGACTCGAGCATTCCGTCCTCCACTGGGCGTCTTTCTTTTGCGCCATGACCAGACTGCCCAAGTATGATTCAGTGATTCGGCTGCTTTCAACTATGGCGAGACCCGCAGGTGGCTAGACACCTACATCCTCAAGAATGGCGTCGTAAACCGCCGGTTAAACTCTCCCTGTGAACTTGGCGCTAATGGCATTCACCCAGTCGCGCGTAGAGTGCGGCAAGGTCAACCTCCACGGACGGACGGGTCCCTCAACACATCGAAGACCTGAGTCTGCTCAGTGCATAAGAGCGGCAGGACCTGTCAACATGACAAGGCAAGGGGATGGGTAGCTCAATGTTGGCCCACGAGATTTGGAAGCCAGAAAATCCCCCCGAGCAACGAGCGGTTGTGACGTCGGCAAACTTGATGTCACCCGCAGATATTTCTCCGTCCTTGTGCACGTGGCCGACTTGAAGGCTCGGGCCTTTCTTCGCTCTCGTTCATATTACAGTGCCGTGGCACACCGATACAAGTGAATCATTGACGGCACAGAACGAATTCGTTGGAGGACGAGAATAGAAGGACATAGTCAATCACTCCCGAGAGGGGCTAGCAGATCACTATCCGCTCACGGCTTGCTCCTACGTGTTGTTATGTTACGAGGTCCTCAATGAACGGTGCTTTATCAGTCCACATGCAACGGCAAACCATCATTCCTCATTTTTGATACGATCCTCAACCACTCGATTCGATATCACCACGCCAGATTTGACCCCCCCAGTGCCCTGTGTATCGGACAAACATGCCTCTGTTGATTGGGCAGGCAAACTTGGTATCGGTCATTACGTGGTCCGTAAGCCTAGTAATTAGAGACTGCGTCTATGCGAGCTTGGGGTTTGGTGGCACAATGACGGGGGTTTCGCCAGCTGTTCTGGGTCCAGCGATTCTCTGTACGAGGTGACTTGTTCAGGGCAATGATTTCTGCCTGGGCAAGACCATATTCCCAGTCCACCACTTTCACTACAAGCAATTTTATGGGTGTGGAAACAGGTATGGAGCAGAAGATGGAATCTGATAGCCGGCCTATATCCTATGCACGGGGACTTGGGGAAAATGCGATTACAGCTCTATCAAGAAGCATCTCATCACTGCCTTGACATGCCGAGTGAGAGTAAAAGTACACTCCAGATGCATGGGTACCTAGCAGCAACGCGGAGACTCGACGCCTTTACGTTGCGTGCCCCATGTCGTTCCCAAAGCCGCCGCGGTACAGAGTAATACTACATTACTGCGGTCAACTGAGACAGTAGCGCCACAGTAACTGCAGCGATATAGCGATTCAGGAGCCCGTGGTCTCTTGCAGAGATCAGAATTCATGCGAGCAAGACCTCTTTCTGCCTTTCTTCGTCATGGTGGCGCTTTCACGACCACCCTGGTGACGTGGTATCCCGCGAGAGGCCATGTTGTGTTGTGTTGTGAAGGAACCATGCATCTCTGGTCGAGACTGCGCCTTGTGCATCAATGCTTGCCTCCATGACTCCGACTAGCCAGTGTCACTTTGGTGCTACCGGGCTGTTTGTCCGCTGAGAAATACTTAAAGCCACGTCGGAGGATCTACGCGAGCAACCTGCCCTGCGACGTCCAGGCATGACCAGAAATCTCGCCCCCAAAGGCTACCGAGATCTGTCCCTCGAAATACTCTCCAGAATATGAAGACCATTCTTGCCACACTAGCCATCACCGTGGTGGCGGTCCTAGGGTCAGACCCATGGGCATGCATTTGCCGCGTTGGCTTTTACTACACGGTGCAGCATTGCGGCCCATGCACTACGCAGGAGAAAGAGACTGTAAGCAGCTCCGTCCAAGTGCTCAATGACAGGTTGATTCTTACCAGGTACGGGCGGTTAGGTAAGATGTGTAAGTGCTCCAACGAGGAGACAGAGTCGACTGCTCGCATTGAGTTGACAGTAGAACGCAGTGGACGCGGGAATCCAAGGGAACAGGGGTGAGTGCTTTTCCCTCGGGCAGTGACTTATGCAAGAAGGGTGCTTAACAGCGCTTCAGTGTGCTTAGATTGATTCAGTGTCGGCAAAACGAGCGGCCAGAGAGCGCGGGATTAGATGCGTGGACGCGTCTCCCGGCTTTCCTGCCGCCTTCGAAAATGGCTTGCCGCTGATTACGGGCATGGAGATTTGTCTCTGTGCTGTTAGCCGCGTTTATATGAACTCCAGCAGTGGGATCGCCCAAAGACAATGTATGCATGGACAGTTTGTAAAGTCGCTCGGAAGCCTTGATATGATCTTGAAACTCGTCGCACCAAGACTGGTGTGCTGATGCTTGTGCCTACATCTTGAGACTATCTTGAGTACTCCAATATTACTTGATTGCTTGTGTTTCTAGGATATATGGCGTCAATATGAACAGGCTGGCACCGCGCTCCAGACGCATTTTCCTGCCACCCGCGAAATGTAACGCAGGGGCATTGCGTATGGCTTTGAGTCTCTGAAAGTGCCGATCTTCTGCGGTAGAAAAACAACTGCTAGTTGGAATATTAGTTGCGGAAATTCCTTGGCAACATGTATCGAGAGGAATGAGCCCATCTCACGGCAGGTCAGATTCTAGTCTTTTGCACGCCGGCTGTATTGTATACTGCATTGCAATCATAAGCCAGCGTAGCTCTTCTTCTTCAGGGCCTTGCAAGCTTCGTCGGTTCAAGCTTGTTACACGGAACTTGCGGTCAAGCGCCTCGACCACATGAGCAACTGCAATGCACAAGGGCTGCAGCTATCACGATGCCCCCATAGGGCACTCACGGGCCCGGGCATCAAGGCACAAAGTCACAAGACGTCAGCCCCTTGATGCCTCGAATCATCTAGTCGGGTTGCACACACAGGCGTCTTCTCATGTATAGCCCTCGTTGGCCGGGTCCTTCGGTTGTGGGAAGCAAGGACCTCGGGGCTACACGATATTACATGTGAATACGAGCCCTTTGCTCCGAGCCCTGATCATTGAAATCGTATCTGCCTTTATGGCAGTCCATATTTTCAAAGGCGAGCTGCGACATCTTGAATGTCCCCAACCCAACCGCCCAGATGTGGCTTCATGCCGGTCTCACAACATGCACTGGTGCCTGGGGTCGTTACAAGACGCTTGTGTTTACAAGTTTTACTTGCCGCTGACTTGCTTCTGAGGCCAATAGAAATCACACACGACCGACGTCGACATCGGCCAACCGTATGATGTTTTGTGTTCAATCCGCTGCGTGTTCGACGCGCGTGAACCAATAGTGAGAGCCACCCTGTCCGTGACCGGCTAGATTGAAGTGGACGCACAGGCCAGTGCAAAGGCAATTGTTGTTGCGAGGCATTTCTGGATACGTGCCGCGAAGGAGTATTGAGGACGTGCAGAGAAAAGTCCCTAGATACTGGAAATCAAGAGATATCGGAGGCGACTACAGCCTACTGAGGCCCCAACTAGCAAATAGACGCATCTCCCGTCATCTTTACTGTCACTCTGTCATCGTGCACACCTGATCCTGACACAATCATAGCCAAAAATGGCCGCGCTGAGCTGAAGTGTTGGTTCGGACGGGATGGCGCAGGAGGCAACAACAGAAACAACAGACTTTATCGAATAACAAGTCACTTCCGCAAGGCTCATATGAGCAAAATAGAATGGAAAATTGAGCTTGTGTTGTACGTCTTTGTTGGGCCCCCTTTGAGTCCTGGAGTCTGAACTCCCACTCAGTCTGCCTCGTGAATCAGACACTTTCCCTTGGATGTTGGCTTCATCCAATCAAAGTCAGCACAGGACATTATTTATCCCGCAACAATGTAGCGAAGAGAGTGATCGGTGCCTAGTGCCTGCTGCAGGGCCTTGGCCTTCTTCAATGAACGTCTTTGCCTCACTTTGGTATTGGCGGTCAGATATCTACTCAGCGACGACTCTGATATTGAGGTCCATCCGAACGTGGATACGCGGTCCTTTATAAGGGCGAAGCTGAGCAGGATTCACACGGAGCGGCAGCAACAGAAGCTGCAGATTCAGGCACTCGAGTACGAATACACTGTCAATACACTCATGAGCCGTCTATCCTCCTTGCTCTCCTCTCCGCCTTGGAGTCTGAGACCGGCGGCCTGTTGATGGAGGCCTTCAACATTGCGCTCGACGAGGGCGATGAAGCGGAAACGTGGCAATACGTACACCAGGCACTGCTGTTGCAATATTGCCGCATGCCCGGGCGCGATGGAGTGACGGTATTTTTCAGTCGCATGGCCTTGCCGCAACACCGGGCCCAGGAGATCTTCGTGAGGGACGTCATCGAGAAGTCTCAGCGGATTCTGTCAGCGGATTCTGGAGCTGGCGGCAAATCAACGCAACGCAGAGGGAGGCCGATCCGTGGAGCAAATTCATATACAAGCCCTGGAGCCGGGCTCGGCGATTCAAATTCGAATTCCGGACCTGGACAGCAATGACGAGGACGAGAGGGAAGCGAGGGCGATTTTCGACAGCTTTTCTCCTGAGATCAAGGCAGCGCTGGAAAGCGCGTCGCTGGAGGAAGTGAACAGCGTTTTGGGGACGATGGAGGTTGCTGAGGCCGAGAATTTGGTGAGCCTGCCTTGGAGAGGTGAGTGTTGCCCCTGGCTTGAGTAAGCTTGTTCACCGGTTCCATAACGTGCTGATTTCCAACAGGCTGGTTGCTTGAACGTCGGGAGGGAGATTATCGACGCCACGACGGAAGAAGGAAGAAGCAACTGAAGGAGATGGAGGAGGCTGCCATGGGAAATGCTAACGTGGAACCCGAGACTGCAGCGCAAGCGGGAGCGGGAGTATCAGGCCAAGCATGTCATGAGAAGATTGATGGCAATATATCATAGATATAGAACCAGTCGACGTTGATACATCCGCAATGTTGCGTACCGCGCGGTGAATGTCTCACAACGCCACCGAAAATGACATTCGGTCACCCACGCCATCGGCGGCGCCTCTATGATTCCGTCTGGTGGAGGAGAAGGAGGACGCCTCGTGATCAAAGCTCACAGTTCGCCGTAAAAGACCATTCATCTCAAAGCTGGAGTGATTTCGCTCCGCCCATCAGGTGAAAGATATATACGAGGAGGAGCAGGAAGCACCTATCAGGTTAATGCCGCAATCTTTCAATATTAATTACATTTATTGCTCTCATGTTTTTATACCCTTTCCAACATGCATTCAAGAGAAGAACAGCTACGATCCTCGTCTCAGGACGCACGGGAGTGACAACAGTACACCACTCCGGCCTGAACTCGATCAAAAGTCAAACTCTGGCCGGAAGACATCCAGGTCGACGTCTTCCACCAACTTCTCCTCTAGGTCTTTCCGCTTCATCACGCGAAAGACGCTTCGCAGCGTGTCGTGCAATTGCTTGCTCCTGTTCGGGGCCGAGACGCGGCCGAGCGTCTCGCCGACCTGATGGTTGCCGCCACCCAGGATCTCGTATATCTTGGCGCGGCCCGATTTCTCGACCGAGTTGTGTATCTTGAGGGCGGTGAGCAAGTGGCACACCGCCAACCGGGGGTCGGTCGTGATGCAGCTGATGCCGAGGTTGGAACGGGCACGCACAAAATTGGGCGAGATGGAGAGCGCCTGCTCGTAGGCGGCGATGGCGTCCTCGAATGCCCCGTTGTTGGCGAGCACGGCGCCCAGCCTGTTCCAGAGCAGATGGGCCTGGTCGTGCTGGTTCGCCGTGCCCAGCGCCGACGAGTGAAGCGCCAGTTGGAAGCATTCAATTGCTTTGTCGTACGCCGCGACGGCCTGAAAGAGCACGCCAAGGCCGACCTGCACGTCTGGATCCGCGTACTCTCTGTCGGGGCTCAGCTGTGCCGCTTCGGAGAAGAGACGAACGACTTTGTGGTAGAGGCGCTTCCGATCCCTGTAACTCAGATCACGCTTGGGCGAGACGTCTTTGGGATCCATGATGTTTGAGTACTTGACCGACAACCACCGCTCCAAGGTTCGGACGGCTTCGCTATCATACCCCTCGTTGGAGTATGATACTGACAGAGACATGAGTGCATCCAGGTTGTTCGCGTCGTGCTTCAGCACCTGCTCCATAGCCAGGATCGCTGCCGTCTCCTCCTCGTTCTGCGCCTGAGCTTGGCCGAGATACAGCCATGCCTCGACCTGGTCCGGATGCTGCTGCACGGCGGCCTCGAGCAACAGCGCCGCCAGCGACAGATTGCCTCCCTGCTTCATCAGCTCCACGCCCTCCCTGAAGGCGTTCTTCTCGTTGCGGAAGATGTTGTCCTGTGCAAATACGTACGTCCCCCAGTGGCCACCGAATCGTCTCCCATTTCCAACTGCTGGCAAGTCGGAATGCCCGTCTGGGTCCTGGTGTGAGTCGGAGTCGGCGTCAGCCTGGTCGATTACTTCAACCTGGACCGGGAGATGGGCAGTGGCTTCGCGCTCTTCCTTGGCACCTTTCTGGAGAAGCAGCTTGACCACGGCCGTGTGCCTTTTCTCGGCGGCCCACGAGAGCGCCGTCCGGCCAGTCTTGTCCGCAATGTGAACATTGGCGCCGTTCTGGAGAAGCAGCTTGACCACGGCCTCGTGCCCTTTCTCGGCGGCCCATGAGAGCGGCGTCCGGCCATTCGTACTCTTAGAGTCAACCTCGGCCCCATGATCGAGGAGCAGCTTAGCAATGGCCTCCTGTCCATTCCGAGAAGTCAGCGAGAGCAGGGTCCGATTATACACGCTGTCCTTGGAGTCAGCCTTGGCGCCGTTTTCGAGAAGCAGCTTGACAATGGCCTCGTGCCCCTTCTCCGAGGCCCACAACAGCGGCGTCCGACCATACTTGCTGTCTTTGAAGTTGGCCTCGGCTCCATTCTCGAGAAGCAGCCTGGCGATGCCCTCTTGTCCCTCTCGGGCTGCCCGTAGTAGCCAAGCGTCTCGCAGCATTGGCGCCTTTGTAACGTTGGTGGCTAGCTCGTGCCAGTCGCCTAGCACCGCCGGATAACTTGCTGTGGCATGATTGTCCCATTCGCGGGACGAATATTCCAAAAACAAATGCTGCGAAAATTGACGCCGCAGGTCCGAGGCGTTCTTACCGTTGTTGAATGCCTCTGCGCTCAAGTATGCCCAGCAAGCCTTGAAGATTTGGAGGTTCGCCTCGGCTTCTGCCGTATGATACCACTTGTTGATTTTCGAGCGTTTGAGCAGCAGGAAGTCTTTCACTGACTGGTGACAGAAGTTGATGGTTGCATCATCTCCGCTACTAACATAGAGGATCGAGCTACAAACCGAGAGGATGTCGGCGTAAACTGCCCCGTCTTCGCCACGTCGTACTAAGCCCGTCTTCCATGTTGCAAAGGCGGTTTGGATCTCAGTTTTTCGCAGAGGGCGCCTGGCCACAGCCATGCAGCGCAAGATGAACTGGGCAGTTTCCGTATTTTCTCTCGGGATTCGGTCCAGAATCGAGGCATACGTATCATCAATGCCATGAGGAAGGTCCTTTAATTTCTCCTCCACTTGATGCATTAGAACAGCCCTTAGCTCGGCAATCATGAGGGATACCCAGAGAAAGGTGCTCCCGGCCTCGCGTTTCAGGGTTTCGCTGACTTTTTGCTTCAAGCTTGGTGTGTATTTCTTCTTGCTGGCTAGGTCGCCGACCTTGTCATCAATGTACTTGGCCAGGTCATCATTGATGACTGCAGAGCCCATTTGCACGGAAACGCCAACGCCCTGTAGCTCATCTTCAATATCACTGATCTGAAGTCTACAGGTAATGAGGAGCTTAATGTTCCGTCGGACTTTTCCAGGGGGTAACTGAAAGAGTTTTTTGATGGAAACGAGCAAATGCTGGCGAGTCGAACTTTCGCACTCGTCCAGGGCATCAATGAGGATGAAGACTTCACCTGCACGCTCGTCCTGGAGCGTGCAGCAGAAAACCCGCCAGAGAGCGGAGAAACTGTTGAAGAAATCCTCAAAGACGCGGTCACCAGCGTGCTTCTCAAAGTCGGGCTGGACATGCCGAAAGAGCTCGTTCCTCTGCAGCAACAGCTGCCACACGAGGCTTCTCAATATTGCCGTTGGCGTCTTCCGGTCCTGGTTCTTGTCGTCGCAGAAAAAGTAGGCAAATGTCTTGTCGGCAGTCTTCTCAACCTTCTCCCTGAGCACTTCGACTAGAAATGTTGACATGATGGTCTTTCCAATACCAGGTGAGCCGACAAGGCGAAGAAGCTGTGCATCTTTGCTTGCGGCCCAAGCAGAGAACTCCTCTCGGTTCAGAATCCACTGGCAGGTATTCTCTACTCTTTCTCCTTTTTGGGCGTGAATGTTTGACAGGACGTCGAGGGGATTGGTCACTCTCATCTTCCGTAGGCATTTTTTGAGGTCGTCAGACGCACAACTTTCGTCTGTTGGAATCGCTATTGGGTTGCGACGGCGATTGAGTCTTTGACAGGCGGTCTCAACCATGCGCACTATGTGAGGGTAGATGCGCTTGAAAGAAGGGTCGTCGGGCCCGTAGAATTTGTTAATTTTGAGATGGTCAGTGTTGAGAGCTATCCTGTGATGGCCGTCGATGCAGGCGCTGGACTCGGGAACAATCTGTAGGGTAGCCGCTGGTCAGAGAGAGAGGAGGTAGTTACGTGATTATGTAATCAGGCCAGTCCGCATGAAGGCATCGGAACACGAACCAATTCCTTGGAAGGCAGCAACTTTCCCACGAAACCCGCCCGGGACGAGTAGTCTGTCATGAGCTGCTCGAACGCGCAGACAACCGGCACCGAATCGGAAAAGAGCCAGCGGGAGAAGTCGCGCAGACGATCCGCCAGTGAATCCGACTGCTCATCCAAGGCTTTCAGCAGCCTGTCTTCGGTAACAAAGCCGGGCGATGCGAGAGATGCAATCATTGCACCCCAACGTGCAGCGGGACTGCCTCGATGAGGCGTCCCCAGAAAGATGACCCCGGCAGTGGACTCGGCAATGGACAAGTACTCTGAGCAATGCCTGGACGCGGAGACGATGGCCTGTCATCGAGTCAATATGGGCGAGGAGCGCTAGGATTCGCGTTATGGTACTCCGTGCGTACCTGTTCGATGACATTGCCCCCAAAACTGTGGCCGATGAAGATCAAGGGCCGATTAGTGACCTGTTTCCGCAGACTGTTAGCGAGGGCCACGAGTCGCAAGGCCCTTATGATTATCACACCAACCTCGTCACGTTGGTGTCGAAGACTGTCCAGTAGGTTGTCGGAAATGTGCGAGAGCCTCTGTTGGGGAGCATTTGCGAACCATGCCGAATCGTAGTTGAAGGCCAGAACTCGACAAGACAGTTTGGCAGGCAGTAGTTTCTGCAACCAGTTGAACGGCTCGTCGGGATACCCGGGGCTATCAGGAGGGTTGTTCTTGGGCAGCCAGATCCAGGCGTAATCCGGATTCGCGCCGAGGCCATGCACGGCTACGATGCTAAGCCAGTCATTAGCACCCATCTCATTTCTAGGACCGCTCAGCTGCAAGGCGCACTCAATAGTTGGCTCGTCACAATCATGCAATATCTGCAGCCCTAGCGTTGACTTTGGCGGTTTATGCTTGCCCGATGCGTGATTGTCTCTGGCAGCTGGAACGCTCAGTGCTTCTGGTTCAGCTGAAGTCTTTTCATCTTGGCCGCCAGAAGTCTCGTCACTGGTGGTGCTGAGTGCCTTGCCAAGTTTGGACGACCGAGCCAAGCGGTACATGGCTCGGGAACACCCTCTCAGGCATATTATATAGGTGATGATAAGCATACAGCAGGTCCAGAACGCGGGCCAAAGACCATTGTGCGGCAGTCCGAATCCACAGAGAATCGAAAGCACAGGGAGATGCATCGTGTATCCATGTCCTTTTGCGATGGCCAGGGCTCGCAGATATGTCTGGGCCGCGCAGCGTGTTTTGATAGTGTTCTGTGGCCCAGTTGGTGAGATGGACTGAGAGCCCTTGTGAACAGGCAGCGTGGAAATGCAGCAGATAAGGCCAGGCCATTCACATCGCCTTTCGATGTACGGGTAGACCAAAGTCGCCTCTTGGTGACCAAAGGCAAAAGTTAAGGCATTACGTGGTTTTGGCCAGGAAAAGGGGGAGCAGAAAGTGGCTACCGGGGATGAGGGGATAGCTGAAAAGCAGTTGAGCGGTAACGGTCACATCCGTTAGTGCTCAAGTCAACAAATGGCGAAAAAGAAACGAGGCCAGCGGGCAGCACTTCGACGTCCGCGTCACACCGCATGAGCTGACCATCTTTTCAACAGTCAACGGTGCCCAATAAAGGACCGCCGCCATGGCCTGTCACACTGCGACACTGACACGACGATCTCAATACCAGTGCCTCGTGTCTTCGGCCTGCTTCACTGCGCGTGCAGCAACAAACCTCCATATCTTCTTCCCTGAGATGTCCGACGGGCAGCAGTACGGCCGCCAAGAAGAAATAGAAAGTCAAGGGAATCGGGTATTTGCATATTAAGCTACGCTCTCCGTCTGTCAGCCGTTTCAAGCTAACACTTCTGCTAATAGGCTGTTATTCCATTCTCCATCCGGATTCTCGCCGGCGAGAACGAGCAGAGTGCCGACGTGGCGCGACGCGATCACGACGAATGGCTCCTGTCCCTCTTGCCCGCCTCATACCGCCAAGAGTCCCGTAAGTTGGTGGCTGCTGGTCAACATGTAACGGCCTGCCTCGAGGGGGAGCTCGATCTGCGACGGCTCACCAGCATCCGCGGCTGGCTCTGGGTCGCTGGTTTACCTTTGCCGCCGCGACCTCTGCACCACCAGCTCTTGCTTGGCCGGGAGATATTTGTCACGGAGCAGATGGACATGCATCTCATCTGGACAACCGGTCGCATGTTCCTTAAACCTGTTCCTCGATTCCTTTTGGAGCCGGCGTTTTGGGCCAAATATCTCTGCTGCGCCCACTCCTACGACTGCTCTCCTGGAAACGATGTCGTCCAACGCGGCACAAAACGGACATGCCTGAGGCTAGGCCTTCGGCAGCGTGCCCTCGGATTCCTCTTCTCCTACGCCGCACTCATATCCCACGAGAGCGACTTCTGCATCGCCCAAGAAAAGCATCTGCTGCCGCAGGAAGCACGCTGGCCTGCATGGAGGATGCTGGTTGACCAGCTGGATGCAGAGCACATTCATCCAAACATTGATCCGCGATTCCACCACGGCGAACTGCGGTTAAGTCGCCTGAACAAGATATACGCCCTCTCGCAGACTCCCTTTCGCGGCTACATGACTCGTTGGAACCAGTACAGCACCTTCTTCCAGGACCATTTTGCTTGGCTAGCGAGCGCAACGGTCTATATTGCTATTGTCCTGACTGCGATGCAGGTCGGGCTCACGACCAAGAACCTCTCCAGCAACGACGCATTCCAGTCTGCGTCGTACGTCTTCACCGTCTTTGCCATTCTAGGTCCACTCAGCGTTGCTTTGCTCATTGTCCTTGTATTCTGCTGCATCTTTGTATATAACTGGGTCAGAGCTATCAATGCCAACAAGAGACATCTCGGCTCCGGCATGTCACGGCAATAAATACAACAGCCGGCCCAAATTCTGCAACGTCCGAGCTCGGACCGTTCCGTCCCTAGCGCTCCTTTAGCCAGTTTTTGGGTGTTCTAGCTTGCGTCTGTGGAGCCTGGAACAGGAATAGCGCTGTGATTGGCTCCGTCATACAAGCCCGCGCCTCGACTCCTCGGCGCCAATCATTAACAGCAGATGTATTTCATTTTACAAGCCAAGAGCATACCTTGGAAAGCATCTAATCATGATGAATTACTTGCTGCGAGGAACGTCTCTAAGACTGTGCGCTCTGAATCTAATTGGTAATCGCGAGGACTGTGTGCGATGAGCGTGGCTTTAGAAACGCTGCGTAACTAGCGAAGAATGGTCATATCGACGGCTGTGGAATAGTACGCATTGTCTGCCGGGTCTTTGATATAAAAGTTGCCAATGGATGTGCTGGAGTGGGATTTACAACTGTAGTCTTGATGGCAGGCCAGGACTTGAACCGAGCCGCCATTCCGATCGATTGTGCTACCATGCGTTGTGATTTGGAACAACATCTCGGCACAATTTGTGGGTTTTCCATAAAAGAACGCCTGATCATCTGCTAGGTTGTAACAAGAAACTAGTCAAATAAAACGGTATTGGGCCTTTTTGTCTTGTGGACTTGAGAAGCGGCGCTTGCGAGTCGCATGTTGCTTCGTCTGTGGAAGCACGACCACGTGTCATGGCACCAAGGCCTCCGTTGCTTTGGCGCCGCTTTGCACGTCCTTTGGCCCCGGAGACTCTTGATACCGCCATGCTCACGACCCGGTGGGAGCTGGGAATCTCCCCTCCTCGGTCGGGCCCATTTGAGTGCCCATGGTAGGTCCTTGGCGGGAAACAAGAAAGAGAAACGAGAAGCAGCAGTGGGGTTTAACCAGGCAGCGCTGCCGGAAAAATGGCGCTTCATCAGTACGACTACCCGCCGGCTGTTGGCACAATCTTAGCCAAAGATGCCGCCAACTCGTGGGCATCGTCTGTTTCGTCCCGATCCGTCACGTCCGGGCCATGATTGGCGCGAGTATGATGGAGTTGGGCGGTGCCCTCGGCGTGCGTGGCCGTGTTGCCGATAGTAGATACCATCCAGACCACGGTCGTTGACGTCGGCGCCTTGGAGGAGCGGCCTGCTCTTCTGATGTTGGCATCTTGCACCCACTTGTGTGGCTCACGCGTAAATGTACAAATATAAGGATTCCTCGCAGTAATGACCATGCAGCTTCATGACTGGCTGCATCGTGTGGGGAAGGTGATGCGGCGGGGTCGGCCGACGGCGGGGCCCGCTGACCGAGGTGAGCAGGTGAGCAGGTGAGGAACTTTTTTTTTTGGGGGTTTTTTACCTTTTTCTTTTTTGCCAACACCACAAGGCTGTTTTGCAGCACCACTCTTGCTGCTGCAGCAGCCATTGCCAACCACCATGTCCAGGAACGTGGTACAACCCAACGGCTGGGTGGCATTGAGACTGCCGAATGACAACCTGCGGCTTCTTCAAGTCGCGCCAAACACGTGCGTCGCGCCACTGCGCCGGCCTCCGCCACCACGCCAACGCCAGTACTGACACGGTCTGTCCAGAACGATATCTCTAGGAAAATATGGCTCGTTTCCAAGCAATCTGATCATGGAGCGCCCGTTCCACCTGACGTACGAAGTGCAGGACAAGCGGGCTGGCGAAAACTTTTCCCGGCTCCGGGTCGTGCCCGGCGCAGAGCTCAACGCCGACATCCTCGCCGAGACCAACGTCAACGACCAGGCCGACGGCGACGCCGCCGTTGTCGCCGCCCAGGGCGAAGAGCTGGCGCTGGTGGACGACACGGGCAAAGTAGTCGCGCGGTCCAACCGAGAAGTCATTGACGACTCGGCGCGGCAGACGCTGACGTCGGAGGAAATCGAGGTCTTGAGGCGCGAGGGCGCCTCGGCCGGCAAGGAGCTGATTGCGAAACTCATGCTGTCGCACACGGCCATCGACCAGAAGACGACGTACTCGCTGGCGAAATACAAGCTCTTGAAAGAGCGCAAGTTCCTGAGGCGCTTCTCCGTGCTGCCCCTGGACGTCGTCCTGCTGGGCCAGTGGCTGCTGGAGAACCGCGACGCCTGGAAAGTGCTGGACCTGAGGCCCGAGATGATGGGCCTCCTGGGATGCTGGGCAGACGTCCACTTTGGCGGCGAGCCCGCGCAGGGCGCGCGCGAGCCTCACGGCGGGAGGTGGCTGGTCGTCGACGACACGGGCGGTTTGCTGGTGGCCGCTTTGGCCGAGAGGATGGGACTGCTGTGCCGCGGGCCGGGAAGGCAGTCTGCCTCCGCGTCCGCCGCGGAGCAGGGCGATACGGCACGGACGGCAGACGCGACCCCGGGGCGAGGCGGCGCCAACGGCGGCCCCGGCCGGCCGACGTCTCCGTCGCCGCCACGCGCGCAGCGGACGGCCAAGAAGCGTCCTCGCTGCGACGACCTCGACGAGCACTACGCCCTCACCAACACGATCACGCTCATACACGCCAACTCGCAGCCCAACCTGTCCGTCCTGCGGTACTTCGACTACGACGCCAGCGACCCCAGCCCGGCGCCCCCTTACCACCCGCTCTTCACCAACCTCCTCCCCATCTCGTGGCTGCAACTCGTCAGCCCCGCCGACGACGTCGTCTGCTCCGAGAAGCCCGCCGACGCGACGCCCGAGGAGCTCGCATCCTGGAAACCCAACCGCCGGGGAAACTACCACCGCAAACGCCGGCGGTGGGCCCGCACCAACGAAGTGGTCGAAAACACACGGGCAGGCGGCTTCTCCGGGCTGGCCGTGGCGACCACCATGGACCCCGTCTCCGTGCTGCGCGAGGCGCTCCCTCTTTTGGCGGGAGGCGCCCCCATCGCCATCTACTCGCCCACCATTGAGCCGCTGGAACAGCTGGCAGACTGCTTCAGCATCGGCCGCCGGGCGGCGTGGGTGTCCTCGTTGCCCGCAGAGGCGGTCGGCAAAACGCAAGCCGAGCTCGACCGGTGGGAGGGCACGAGGGAGTTCCCCATCAACCCGACCCTGGTGCTCGGCGCGGCGGTCCAGAGCAGCAGAGCCAGGAGGTGGCAGGTCCTGCCGGGGAGGACGCACCCGTTCATGACGGGCAGAGGGGGCGCCGAAGGCTTCTTGTTCACGGCGTGGAGGGCGATCCCCGCGCTGGGCAAGGTTTCCGCAAGGGGCAAGTTTCAGAAGAGGAGGGGCGAGGCAGCCTGACGGCCGTGTACAAAACCGTGCTTGCTTGTTGGTTGGCTTGATGGATTGCAAAGTTTGGGACTCCCCGTCCACGTGTCTACGTGGGGCGGGTTGGCGTGTGAATGTTGTTGCGGGAGACGTGCACGGAGCGATACCCTGGATATCTATCTATATTTACTGTGGTAAATTTCTGCGCTCCAGACACGTGTTGGCGGAAGCACGATTGACCACGTCATGCGTGGGCTGGGGCAACTTGGAAGCCGTGGCAGTCGTGGCGTCTCATTATTATAGTTCCATATACGACGAGGTGCTATGCTGTTGTTCAGGTCGCAAGAGCAACGACGGAATCGCGCTTTACAACGCCTTGCCCATGAACTTTCTCTTTGTGAAACTCAACCACCACTTGCTAGGCTTGTTTTCGTCGTCTGCGTACACCCGTGCAAGCAATCGCGCCGCCAGCTCCTGTCGTACCTGGGACATGTATTGCCTCAAAAGTTCGGCATCCTGTCTATCCCTAGCCGGCTCGTACATCTACCACGAGGGAAAAAGGTCAGCCGCAGTCAGGGTCCAGTCACCAAAGCCCGGAGTAGGTTGTGGCGTGGCAAGATTGCAACTCAAGGAAGTGGCGCGCCGTTGGAGGAACCAAGGACCACGTACCTGATTCAACGGAAAGCCCGGGTCTCCGGGTATGGCAAAGTTCAGATCGAGGGCCAAGTTCGTGACGTCTTTCTGCGCGTCTCTCGCCGTCGCGCTAGGCTTGATCTTTTGCAAACAGTCGCTCAGGAACCAGATGCCGTACACGAGCAGGCGATCTGCAGGGCCCTGGATCTCAAAGTTGCGGAAAAAGGCGTTGGCGCGGAAGAGCGAGATGATCTCGTCGAGGATATCGTAGCTGTCGCTGTCTGGGTCGGGCGACTCGTTGGGAGGCAGCGGGGGCGACGGGATGGGAAGGGTGTAGGCCGGCCCGCGGGTCTTTGTGCGCAGCGGGAGGATGGGAAAGTTTCCGATGAGACGCGGCGGGTTGGGATCATTGTTGAAGATGGAGTTGTAGGCCTCGTGGGATGGTCAGCTTGATCGTGAAGACGCGAGTTTCTGGGGCACTGGCGGCTGAGTGGACGGAGGCAGATCCACGCTGCGGCAGGACTGAAGGCGACATGATGAAAGGCGAAGTACGTGTACATACCAGCATTCTGGACAGAATAGGGAGCAGGACAGCTCGACGATGGTGCCTGGGAGGGTGGCTGAGACGGTGACGATGATGGGCTTTCGATCGTGTCGACGGCGGGGCTTTTCGAATCGAGAACTTGTCACAGGGCTGGCCGCATGGGGCTCGGCTTGGTTGCAAAAGTACGTAATCGCGGATATTTAATAATGCGCGCCCCTCTTTTGTAAGCGTATAGAGGACAAGGTTTTGTACTAACGTTAATATAAATATACTAGTATTTATATTTTTGTTGAATTGAATCTGAAAAACAGCTTCAAGGCTACTACACAATCAATTTCTAATTCTAACACTTAATTCGTGGGATCGTGGGAAAGAGAGGGTGCGCCTTTGTTGATGTCAGCGCCGCATCCTTCATACCCCTGCTGCACGGCAAACACATGCTTCAGTACTCGGGAACGGAATGGTAAGTTATCTCATCGAGCTTACTTTCTCTGGCGTCGGAGCCAGCCAATGCGCGGTATGTCTGCAAGCTCACCGCGTGTACCACTCCAGTACCTTTTCAGAGACTCAAATTCCTTTAGACGACACAAACCGTAGCCAAGGATAGCATGTCTCGTTATACACTCGGTCCAGGACCAACGCGCCATTCGTCTTGGACCTCGCCGTTGACGCAGTAGCCGGGGTGCCACCCGGCCTCGGCCCAGTCGATGACAGGCGCAACTATTGCATCTGGTCCCGTGGCGAGCACAATATTCGGGGCGACAAGGTCTGCATGCGTAAAGCTTGGAGTGCTGGGCAATGTCGATGCCGCAGGCGTTTTGAAGTCGCTCGACAGCATCTAGTCCTTCGAACGGGCCGAAAGTCGTTGAGCGGTTGTCTGCAAGGACTACCTGCACAAATTTGTTCAGTAATGGGCTTCCCCGACGTGTACTCGTCTTGCCGTCGGCACTCGGTACCACCCACCTAAGCATCCACGGCCGTCTTGGGGCAAGCTTCTCCAAGAAGCGACCATGGTCCGTAGTTGGCTGCAGACGGAGCGCTCGTCTGGCTCGTCTAGGCTGTGCCACCGCTCTTGCAGGGTGACGCCCTGCCACAGTCCAGCCGAAAGCTTCGGGGACAGGGACCTGGCCACTCAATTTCTCGCGAAATATCATTTGGGTTTTCGGCCGCACGAACCGTCACATCGGCCCCGCACTTGACGAGAAGACCGGGCGACGGCATGCGTACGGGGGGCGGGCGGTAAAAGTTCTCTGCATACACGTCTCCCGATCCGCTGTTCAACGAACTGATTTTGCTGGGAGGGGGAAACGCATCAGCCCGTCTTTGAGGGAAGAGGCTACTGCGATCGGCCGTCGAGCGGCTCACGCTCGACTGGGCGCTGTCGGACTGAGCTGTCGATGCGGTCTGTAGACCGAGGGATTCGGAGGCAGGATAGCGAGCGTCGAGGGTGCAGCAAGTGGCCACGATGACGGTGCAGGAGCAGCATTCGGATGCAGAGCGGGCGGTGTACGCAGGCTCTGGGCGGGTGATGTCGTAGTCAGCGCCCAAGGCCTTGTTCTTCGCTTTCCTTGACCACGTGAGAGACGATAGATGGCCACTACAGTTTCGTGACGTGGATGTCAAGACTTTTCTTTCTCCCGCCCAGAGAGACAAAGTTGACAAGACCGACTCTCACAACGCTATTGCCGCTCTTCCTTGCTCGCCGCCTCGGATTGCAAGTGACTCTTTCGGCCGTTGGCGAACGGGCTGATTGAGGCAAGTTGCCCAAAGAGTCGCAACCAAAACTGGCGTGACAAAATACAAAACGCAGAGGAACAATGAACTATTTAATGCGCACTATACTTGTATATAAATATATATATATATATATATATATATGTTCCTACTTATTTATACATTTTTCATATGTCTTTTGTGCGCTTCTTTTACCAAAGTACAAACAGAAATAAGCGCGCTATAAGCTACTCAAGTATACTTCCTGTACGTAGCCAAGATAAGCTGTCAATTAGGTAACTCTGAGAGAAGCGCTACGTAACAGATGACTAACAAGAAGTGGCTAATCAAATAGTTAGCAGTGGAGCTGAGCTGCCCGGGCACCCCTTTCTTATTTCACCCTCGCCCTCGTGACAAAAGTGGCTTCCCGTCATCTCGCCGTCACATTCACCGCCGCCTCGGCCAACAGGCTGGTGCCGACTTCTCGGCCGCATCTGCCGTTGCCGGTCGACGATGCCGGGCAGCTCGGATCGTTGATCCCAAAAGAGCAGGTCGACATCGTGCCCCTGCTTTATTGGCTTGGACCGGCATGGGCCGCGGCGAGACGGGACGAGCACGCGCCGCCCGGCCGTTATATACTCCCCTTTGGGCCACAGCTTCTCAAGTGCGCCCATTCTCCACGGGCACTGCCTTGGCCGGATGCCTTCTCCTCCATGTACGTGTATACCGGAATCGCTGCCGCATCGCTGCTGGCGGGCGGGCTGGCTCAGGACGCCGCGGGCTGGTACGAGGCCCATCCCGGGATGCCACGCATCCGGCAGGTGAACCAGACGACGCACCAGATTGTCGACGAGTACGGCCGCGCGCGCTTCTTCCACGGGACCAATGTCGTCATGAAGGATGCCCCTTGGTACCGGCCGGCCGAGTGGGTGCCGGGCGTCCCGTCGTTTGGCGAGCAAGACGTCCGGAACATGCACGACTTGGGCCTCAATGTCGTGCGGCTGGGACACAGCTGGGCCGGGGCAGAGCCCGCACGGGGGCAGTACAACCGGACCTTCCTCGACGTCATGGCGCGCCAGACCAAGCTGGCCGAGGACCACGGCATCTATGTCCTGGTGGACCTGCACCAGGACGTCCTGGCGAGGCAGCTCTGCGGCCACGGCGTGCCCGATGTGAGTGACGACGAGTACGTGTCCGCCGAGGTGACGTGCCGGTGCTGACACGCCTTCTTCCCGGCCAGTGGTTCGTCAAGAAGGACTGGGTGTCGGGCTGGAAGAGGTATCCCTTCCCCCTGAAGCTGAGGCCCTTCCCCGTCGACAGGGACGGCTTCCCGTCGCCGGCGTCGCTCTGCAACAGCGTCGACTGGGCGCTGAGCTACACGTCCGTCGCCGTGGCCGATGCCTTTGGGAGGCTGTACAGCAACCACGACGGGCTCGGAGACGCCTTTGCCGCCTACTGGAAGCAGCTGGCGCTGGTCTACGCCGACGCGCCCAACGTCGTCGGCTTCAACCTCATGAACGAGCCGTGGGTCGGCGACCACTGGGCCGATCCGACGCTGCTTCTGCCGGGATTCGGCGACCGCAAGAACCTCGAGGGGCTCTGGAACCGGGCGACCAGGGAGATCCGGGCCGTCGACAAACACACGCTCATCTGGTTCGAGGGCGCCACCCTGGACATCTTGTCGGGCTTCAACAACGTGCCTCTCGGGGACGGCTCCAAGGCGGTGCATTCCTATCACTACTACAAGCCGCCGCAGCTGGGCTCCATCCACGCCACGCTCAAAAACCGCCGCAAGGACAACGAGCGTCTCAGGACGGCCGGCGTGCTGACCGAGTTCGCCTTCTGGATGGGAGACGACGAGCACATGAAGAACCTGGCCGACGCCTTGTCCGCCACCGACGCCAACATGGTCTCGTGGATCGGCTGGGCCTACGAGAACCTGTACAACGGGTCCTCGGGCCAGCCTCATCCCCAGCTCGCGAAGCATTACAGCCGTGCGTATCCCGCTGCTGTTGCTGGCACCCCCAGGGGCTTCAGCTTCGACGAGGACGCGGCCATCTTCAAGCTGCAATTCACGGCGGACCCGACCATTGCCGCGCCGACGGAAATCATCCTGCCCTCGTCCACCTTTCCCCGCGGCTACAGTGTCCAGGTTTCACCCCAGGGGAGCTTGCTGCAGCACGCACGGGGTAACCGCACACTGGCCCTGTTCACGTCCGCCCGCATCCAGAGCGCCGTTGACGTCTCCGTCACTGTCACCCGCAAATAATGCCGTCTATGCTCTGCCATCAGACGACTTGCTGCACTCTCGGGCAGCTTGACGATTCACGTTGGTGTGGCGCCTGATGAACGGCGCTTGTGCTCGTGGGTACATGGACTATGCAACAAGGTGATCCGCACGAGCTTCCCCGGACTGTGGCTGGACTGGGGTCGTGAGCTTCAGCAAGTCATGGGGCTGTCTGGCGTTGCCGTCCCCAAGCACTGCTGTCTCGGATCGAGAGGAACCTTGTCGGTGAGCAGGTGAATGCTGCCGTTCTCGACAACTTGTATCTAGTCCCCGCGCCTACTTGTCTAATAGATGATATTCGAAAAGCGTCAGCAGTGCAATCAGAATTGGCAAGGGGGATGCTGCAGTAGTACCCGTGCCCGCTATCATCGACCGATGCAAGACTCCTCCCCGGGTCACGAATAGACTCCTCCTAGAAGCCTCCCACACATGTGAGCCCGTATTTTCCACCCCAACCCTAACCACTCGACCTCTCGTGTCTCCGCACATGCATACGAGATTATCATTCCTCGAGCTTTGTTATCGAAATCTGGATCCGTAGTTCAGCAAAGAAGCAGATAGTACAGTCCGGCTCACGCTTCATATGGTTGGAGTTTTCATAGGCTTCAAGTCAAAACTCTCCCAGAAGCAAGGCACCTCAAAATACCCCAACTAGCCGCGGGCACCCGAAAGCTACCAGGTTGCTGAGCAAACTCAAAGGTCCAAGCCAAGTGGCCGACTGTTCATCCTCTCCGGGAGATCCCTTCCGCAAGGCTTCACGGCCCTTTGAAGCTCAGACAAGACAAAAGACGGGTCAATTCAAATCTGCTACGCTCACGTAAATAGGCGGGGGGCCGCATGAAAATATGCAAACGGATAGACAAGGCCCCGTGGACCAGACAGGGCATGGCCACTTGTAGGATCTTGCCGCCTCACCACTCACAGTTTGCCCGTGCGGCGAATCCGAACCCCAGGGAGGCCAAAGAAGGAATACGCCTGCAGTCATTGCATAGTCACTCACTCACTCACTGGTCACCACCGCCAGTGTCACTTTGATACACAGCCGAGCCGGATCATCGACAGCTGTCGGCCATGCCTGGCTTAGTACCCTGAAGAAGCGGCCATGCTGCGGGACAAGTTCGAGACTTACCCGTGTTCCCCGGAGGCGAGTAGCGGAACTCGTACCTGTTGCCGGACGCGGGCCTCACGCAAATGTGTCCGCCTGTCACGCCGGCTCGCTCCTTGAAAACCAGCTCGGTCTGGAGGGCGTCCGTGTCCGGGTTGCACCCGTACGCGACGTCGTAGATGGCGCGCGGATCCCCGCGCTCCGTCATGAACACCTTGGTGGTGTTGTCGAAGGCGGTGTACTGTGCTTCGGGGCTCGGATCAGACGAGAGATCTGGACTGGGGTGGGACGGGGGACTCGGACAGACCTCTCCGTTTATCACGGCCCGGATGGTCTTGTCGTCGCTCAGCTGGGTAATGACGCCGTTGACGAGAGCTAGGTTGCCTGCAGGGGAGCCTGCCGGGCTGAGATACAGATGCTGATCGCCGCCTCCTGCCGCCCACTGGTTCATTAGGCGGTTGTGGATGGAGGAGTAGGACGCGTTCTGGACCTGGATCGCGAAGCCCTCTGGGATGTTGTCCGGGGGCGTGCCGGGGGGGACTTCACACGCCAGCGTCGCAGCGGCGACGGCGATGGCGATCAAAGACGTGGGCAGCCACATGTTGCTGGGGCAGAGGATGGCGAAGATGTGCTCTTATAGAGAGGAGGGAGCAGTGGGGGTCCTTGGTAAGCCTTGGGAGGGGGATATATAGAGTTTTGGCCGAGCCGGATTCAAGATTCAGCTTGGGGCAAGATTTTCATGCACTTGTCTGACTGGCCTGGAGCGGCAACACGACAATGCAATGCTACAGATCAGAGATCATGGTTCCGACGTGACTGGCATGTGTACCGCAATGTTACAAAAGGATCCGAGCAGCAATCAGTTGGGGAAAATAATATGAGCACAACGTCGTGTCTCACGCTCCTGTCTTGGATAGTCGAGCTGCCACGAACGGGTGGCTCACTCTGCGCCAATGGAACGGGAGGATTGGTTCTTGATTGAGTGTATGCCTTTGTGAACCGAGACTTGTTTCGGAACCGAGACTTGTTTCAAAGGCTACTCTGAAGTGCTCGAGCACAGCCAGGCCTTGTTTTGAAGGGCTCAGCTGTCGACTCTGGCTTCAGTCGCACCTGACTTTTTTGTTGACGGATTCTCATGCTGTGTTACGATGAACCTTGGCAAGTTGTAGGAGAGTGAGGAAAAGGGACATTGCAAGTCGAATCCTTGGCGGTTGAATGGAATGATTCACGATCCTTTCTGGGCCTCTCCAGCTCGGCTGGCCGACCCCAACTGCGGCAGGTGAACGGCAAAGACATTCAACGTTCGAATGTACCGGCACTTTGAGGATCCGCAACTTTAGACCCAAGGAAGATACTTTGGGGATATGTTTGCAAGCCTCGTGCGCCGTGCTCAGGACGTGTTTTGCCAAAGCTCGCACCGCTAAGCTGCCTTGACTGCACACCTCGGCTGGTAAATAAATCGTGTCCAGGCCAATGTGCAAAGCGGCAATAAAGGCACTGCGGGGTGGTGCCTCGACGATGTCATCATGATTTACATGTACTCGGTTATGGTGGTTATGCCCGCATTGCTCGCTGCACTTGTCGCGCGGAGGGACCCCCTGAGCACGACAAGATCAACTTATTCCCGCTCTTCCTTCTTCATTTCGTTAGCCCTATCCATAATTTCATGCATACCATCGATAGCTGACCGCTCGAGTTGATGCTGGTGGCGGCTTGCGTCCGCCCCGTCGGCCAATAACCTGCATCGAGCAGCGTGTGCCGTGCCTTGAGCTCCGAAATACGACGTTGATGCTCACAGAGCTAGAAACAGCAGAGACGAGCCGGGCCGTCTCTTTGATCCAATCCAATTGCATCAGACCCAAACCCAACGCCGGTCCGTGGCTTGGCACGACGAAGACGCGCCCCCCAAAAGCTGGACAAGCTCTGCGTCCCGTGTAGGCGTCGCAGGAACGACGCAACCCTCCCTGGAACTCGAGACTGGCCCTCTCCTGAACAGTTCCAGGCACTACGTCGAAGCAAGCGGGCAGGCCGAGCACATGTCCAACAATGCGCCGCAGCATGGCTGTCTGGGTCTCGACTATCAAGGACAGCTCCACGACGAAGGCGGCCCGTCATGTGCTGTAAGGAAACGAAGTCTCTCCGCGGAAACAAGTCCCTGCACATCGTAGCAAACGAGGGCATGAAAATGATCGGTTCGTATGTACACTGCTTGCCGTGCCATGCATGCGGGCAGCCAGGCTCAGTACGATGAAGCAGCGCAGGCCGCACCGCCTTCATCTACCTTGTACATGTAAAAAACTGTCCTACATCATGCTATACTCTCTCCCACTCCTTGTTCAGAGTATGCTAGCGTTGACGGGAAAACGTACAAGACATCCATCTTTGTAAATTGACTTGATGACTCCGTTCACATGGAATGGAAGGCCCAGACGAGGTGTCTTTGACGGTGCGTCCTCTTCGACGGGCCTCGTGAAGTTTGTGCCCGTTGCAGTAGAGTCTGTTGCGGATTCCTCTGGTGCTTTGTGCAGTCGACGCGACATGCTCCGTTGGAGTAGAGGCCGGCTTGTCCATCTCCACCACGGGCAATTAATTGATTGATATCATGTGCGAACCTGGCGGCAGACTCATTTTGCTGCGTCGCGCAGAGCGGCAGGGATTGGTTTGATAAAGTATCAAGGTCTAGCTTGAACGTTGAAAGACAGCTCCCTTTCAACGCTTACATCTGAGGGTCGGCCTTGCCGGAATTCCTCACAACCTCAAAACCTTGCATTGAGTCCAACGCAGCCCTGATTTTGGCCTTATACCCCGGTACCCCAGCGGTGTAGCACATGGGCTCGTACAGCTTGCCGGGAATGCTCCCGCCCATATAGGTAGACCTGGTTGTCGGGAGCAGTGTCTTGTCGTTGAGCTCTGCAATGTGCCTTGTCCATTCCCGGGCTGCTTCACGCTTTGGGTTCACATACTTGATGTCACCTCTTCGCGCCTTGTCAATCATGTCGGCAATCCAGCGGCCCTGGATCTCAACTGTGGTAGGCCCGTTGCTGAGAAGAGTCGGGCCATGAGGTCCGTAGAGGTGGAACATGTTGGGATAGCCGCTGACGCTGATGCCCAGATACGTGCTTATCCCAGAGGACCATTCCTGCTGCAGATTGGTCCCGTCGGTACTCTGCAGACCGAGCTGCGTCATTGCTGCACAGACTCATTGTTAGCACTCCCCAGGTCACCGGGTTCTGAAGTGATCCTACCTCCAGTCACGATGTCCTGTTGCCCTCGTTAGCACGGGTGTCTTTGGCGGTTGCCAAGATATACTTACGAATCCCGTAGCAACTGCAATCACGTCAAACTCGTGATGAGTACCGTCTTCAAGAGTGATGCCGGTCTCGGTAAAGTACTTGATGGGGTTCTCGTTGATATCAACGACATCAACGGTGGGCCGGTTGAATTGCTCGTAGTAATTCTGTTCTAGACAAGGACGCTTGATGCCAAAGTAATGTGGCATCTTTTCCGGAGCGAGCAGGTCTCTCTTGCGCGCATCGTCAATGCGAGCACGGGACTTCGTTGCCCAAAACTTGTATGATTCCTTGTTCGCCTCACCGTTGAACAGGTTATCTTTGTAGATGCCCAGCCAGTATTTGAATCCTCCGTCTCGCCATGCTTTCTCATAATGGGCCTCTCGACCTTCGGGAGTGTCATCGAATGTATTCTTCTCGCTCCAATCGTACTGGAACCCGCCAAAGCCCGTCTCTCGGAGCCGGAAGAGCTCGGGATATAGTACCCGTTTTCGCTCCTGTTCCTCGGCAGTCAACTGTCTGCGGCGCATTGGCAGGGTAAGGTTGGGGGTACGCTGGAAGACCTTGACTTGACCGGCGACCGGTCCCCACGCCTGGACAATCTGGACTCCAGAAGCCCCTGTGCCGATGACAGCACATCGCTTGTTTTGCACGTCTACGTTATCTTCGGGCCAGAAGGAAGAATGATGGATCACGCCTTTGAACTTGTCCATGCCAGGCCAATCGGGGATATGGCGCCTCGCAGCCTGAGGTTATAGTTTGGTCAACCCACCATCTTGTTTGTAGAGTGGTACAGAAGAAGAAAAGAAGAAGACAAAAGAGGTACTTACAAATCCAGTGCCCAAGATCAAATACTTGGCTCTGGCCGTTCGCCCGTCCTCTGTGCGGACATTCCATTTCCCGGCGTCAGTGTCAAAGTGGGCACCCACAACGACTGTATTGAACGAACAGTCCTTTTTCACGTCGATAACCTTGTCGACATGATTGAAATATGCGCGCAGCTCCCGGTAATCGGGATAGTTGGAAGACCAGTTCCACGTTCTCCAAACCTCGGGCCAGGAGAACTCGTACTCGGGCACTTCCGAATCAACTCCTGCTCCAGGGTACGCATTCCACCTCCACGTTCCTCCAATGTCGTTTCCTGCCTCGAACACAACACATTTGTTGCCGCGTTCTCGAAGAGTCTTGAGCATGAAAATGCCAGCTGAATTGTGTACGTGAGCACGTGACCCCCCTGGCCATGGGAGATTAGTGGTTGGAGAAACTGACCAAAACCGGCACCAACAATGATTGCATCGAGCTCCAGATTGTCGGCGTAGGGTCCACCTTGTTGCCGGTGAGGGAGAGAGTAGTCAGTCAGCTCAGTGTTGAACTTTTTGGTCACAGGTGATGGAGTCGACAGTCCCATTGTTGAAACGTGTTGATACTGGTAGCAAAAGAGAAAAGAAAAAAATCCACAGCGAATACCTGCAATTTGGGAGCCGTATTAGATTATTTCACAATTCACGGACGCTTTTTGGGCATGGCTGGTCGGCGAGGTTTTATAAGCCCGCTGACCGCCATGCTCGTGATGCAGCCTGCATAGCATAAGCTCTTCTGGCAACTTGCCGCCAACGCAGCAGCCTTCCAGGAGACCAGATCCTGTCCTGATAGAAGTGAGGTGCATGTAGGACAGTGATGCGCCAAGCAAGAGGGAGACGAGGGGGGGTTGTGCATGATACCCATCCTGATCCACAAATTCTGGTTGTATCAAGCGCGTAACTGGGAGTAGCAGTTTACGTGGCGAGCCAATTCCATATCGTGTCGAAGCCTGGACGGCTTTCCTGGGTTATATATTACAGTCAGATTTGACGCTGAAGAGTACGCAGGCGTCACACAGGCAATGAATCGGAATTGTATCATGATATGTGTTTGCACCTTCGCTTTAGAAACTAGACGCCGTCGGTGCCTTCGGGGTCTTGCTGCATTTTGACGCCTGCAGGAGATTATTGACAATACAACGTGGGGGTTGCTGCCATAGGAGCCACGGTCTTGTTGGCCGAATGGGGCGGAGATGCGTGGTTTACACATCCATCAGGGAAACGCCGTCGTTTGCAGGACGGCGTCGCGTATTGCTCCATGCCAAAAGGCCAAGGTGGGAAGGGGGACTCTTCGATTTCGCGCAGACTCGTGCCTGACGGCCAGCGAACCTTGGCGTAGCCGTTTTCAGGAGACTGAATGGTTTTCCGATAAGACAGAACCAGCTTTGGGAGGGGAAGAAACTCTTGGTGAAGTTTCCCGGACGATGGTGGATGGGGGTCTTTGGTCCGCTGAGGTGGTCGTACTCGTGAAACCCCAACGTTGCTCTCTCGATTGTGGCATCATGTGACGGGAACAATATGACACGGAGCGTCCTTCAAAAAACTGTCCCTGCCCTTTTCAAGACTTGAGCGGCCTGATGTCTCGGTATGCCGCAATACCGGCTTCGGACGACAGAGTGTGGCAGCTGGCTTCGCGCATCTTATCGAGAAATACTTCGTACTCTGCATGGAATGGAGTGCCACTTGAAGTGAACCGAGACCGGGATGGAGGTTGCCCAGGCTTGTGAGGTTGACAAGTCGCATCCATGGTCGCCGTTCAGCTGGGATGTGGATGACGTGAATTGAGACTGCGTGCTCGGTTTACCCGCCCTGCAACCCCGCACAGGGCCGGCCCAGATCACGTGCTTTCGCATCACTCCCGCGCGATCCGCAACGCCACTTGCCCATCCGGGACACAAGGAACGAACGCGTTGCCTCTTGGTCAGTGATCAAATGCTCTTGTTAGAGTGAGTTCTCTTTGTGTTGAAGTCATGGCGCTCTCCTCTTCACAGGCGTAGGTAAAGCCCGTTTAGCCTTTGTCATCTGTCCTCTTTATAATTCCAGTCTCTGACGAGTCTAACCCACCTTTACATCGCACAGTACCGTCCGAGAGTCCTTCACAGCAGTGCTGGACTGGACCCAACGCCGACTGCTTGCCCTAGGCCTACATTTCGCGACATCGCATCGCCAACTCTACGGCAAATCATGGAGGAAGACGAGGCACCGCTTAGCACTCGGCTCCCCCCAATCTCCAAAACCATACTCCAGACGTCCCCAGCCTTTTCACCGCGCCGACCAGCCATAGGCTCCCTCCACGATGTGCTACGCCGAGACAATTCCACCGAATGGCTTGTATCCCCTGAATATTGGACCGATAAACACAGTCAAGTCCTCGGCGCGGACTTTGAAGAGCTGCCGCCCTTCAACGTACCGGTTCCCCAGTACATCCCCGGTGCTTATCCATCAAGAGGCGATTCGTGCCGTTCCAGTACCGTCAAGTTGCTAGATGGTTTGCTGTCTGATAGTCTGCCGAACGGTTCGGAGTCTGGGGATGAAAAAGCAATCGGGTCCATAGTGGCAATACTGTGGCCGTACGCCTTGCCTGGGTTCTATCATGGCCTAATGCTACCGATTTTCTTGGGCGACTGCTATCACCCAGAAGCTGTGCTGCTGCCAATGGCGTGGCCTTGTCCGCCTGAAAGCTCACTCCCCTCGGATTTTGCTCCGTCTCCGGGGCCAGATGGGCACCCAATGCGGGCTATGTGTTACATCACAAAGGACAGACTCGCCGCGATGCGCCGCGAACTCATCTTTCCAGAGGCATACGACGAGGCATACGACCCAATCACGTCACGGGTGTACCGACTCAAAGCCAAGGCCAGAATGCCGGCCAACTCCAACCATGACCCTTATCTGGTGGCCATGTTCCTGGCTATGGCACAGGATCACTTTCACCAGGTCCCTCCATCGGCGCATCGCCGGCGCCAGCGGTCTGGCATACCGTCAGCGGGTCCAGCCTTCAAGGATCTCAAGCTCAGAATCCTCCTCCATGACACCCAAACGAGAGAGCTCATCGTTCACACGGGGCACATCACGTCAAACTTCCTGGAATATTTCTACGACCCCCACAACGTTCCCACGTCTACACAGGGCCAAGGTGACGCACTGGGAATGAAAATCCAGTACACCAGAGTTCCTATGTGGCCGGTAATTGGCCTGAAAGAACGACTTGGCATGGCCCTCGGCGAGGATCTCGTAGGACAGTTTGATCCGTTGGAAGTTGAGACATGGGATCAGGAGAATGAAAAACACCACGCTATGTTAGTAGAAAGATTCGACAAGGAGGGCGTGGCGACGGAACCTCCCGAAGAGTCTTGCGACGAAGAGTCTTTCGACGGAGAGTGTTCACCACCGAAAGCGAAGAGACAAAAACTTCAAGAGAGCGATGGCCAGTCGTAGTAGGATCCTAGTGCTCTACTGCTTCGATTTTGAACTGGGCGACGGAACCGGCTCCGGCACTCGCCCCTGGGAAACAAGACGTTGCGGGATGAATATATGTGTGGGCATAGCATTGGGCATACGGGATTTTTTTGGTACGATTTTTCCATGTTTACTTTTTGTTTTCTCATTTTACGAGGGCGACATAGCGCATGTGTTCTAGCATACATGGATAAAGGTTGAATAGAGCCGTGTCACGAACCACACCACGGTCGTCTCCATGCGCAGGCGCGAGATGCTTGACATGTTTTGTCATCCACAGCACCTGTATCATGGCGGATCAATGACGCCAGTCTTGAGATGAGGTCCCCCGAAACAGTGACTAGCAGCGAAGCGTTTTCACCCCGTCAAGCGCACGCTGTTGTGCGGAGTCTGCCAGATGTACTCTTCACGTTGCACCCCTCCACGATGAGGAATAGCAGAGGAGACGAGCCCAGGGCCCTGGTGTGACTCTGCCTAGCCGATGCTCCACTTGCCGTTGCGTTGCATGTGTTGGACATAGGGCCGCGCAAAAGTCATGTTGATGGACTGCGCCTGTTGCTCGACGGGTGGCTGCGCGCGAGCATGATGAGCGTGTAGCGCCGTCACGTTGACCGGGCTTGAAGGCTGTTCGACTGCTGGCGGCGACGACGGAGCCCCGGTTGCCTTTGGGCAAGGACACGCGCCGCACGCGATCTCGATCTGATTGATGCGCGGCGTTAGCCATCCGGCCCAGCCCAGTCACGGGTTATGCGGGATACATACAGGCAAGGGATGCTCGCAGGCCGGCGCGCGAATGTACACGGGACAGGCCGGCCGGAAGGCCCTCAAGCCGACGGGCCAGGCCAAAGCTGGCGCGATGGGCGTGGCGAGGCACAGGAGCAAGAGGGCATGCATGGCTGCGGCTTCAAACTTGGCGGGCGGGATGTCGTGATGCTTGCGTGTGTGTGTGAGCGATTTCCGAGCGCGCCCACAGGAGAGCGCGGGAGAAGGAGACGTGGCCGTACGGGGGAGGCCGAGAAGGGGGAGCAGTCAAGCTTCTTATATGTGTGTTGCCGCCGGCCATTTGGCTTGCTTGCTCGGTGCGAGCGAGCATCGCGGAGGCTGGTGTTCTGAGGTTTCGCGGTTTGGCGCCGGAGACCGTCGCGCTCGCGAGCACTTGAGATGGAGCCGGCTTGGTTTCTTTGGGCTAGCCGTCGGCGCCTGGAGGCACTATTTCTGTGTTTCTTGCAGGATAGCACGGGTCCATGCTCGCCGTGTGCTCTAGCGTTTAAGCTTAATTCTTTGTGCCTTGTGCCGCGGTGGACAAGTTGATATTGGTGATGATATTGAATGGGGGCGAACTCGGTCGTTTACATGGCTGCCCATTAGGCTGCGGCGAGGAATCGATCACGATGACGATTGCAACGCAATCATTCGCAACGCCAAGGGCATGGCACGCACGCTTCGTGGCGGTTTCGGGGCACGGAGGATCTTGTAGCTCGTCATACGGGGGCATCATGACGGACAAGCCAAGTTGTGCTTTCCCGTGGCTACGGCGACAAGCAAACATCCACTCACTACGGCCTTGCACTAAGCGCAAGACGTATGAATAAACTTGGACACGACATCCTCGGAGTTGCGCGGCACCAATGACGCTGAATTTCGACCTCGCGTGTCTGGATCTGTCTACATGGCCACGCAACGCTCACTAGCAGCACAAGCGCATTTCCGTCCCGCAGGCTAATCAGTCTCCGACGAATGCAGAATCGCTTGCGAGTCAGGGCCAGGTACTTGGACATGGTCGACCGAGTCCCAAGAGCCGCCCGTCTCCGGGCTCCCCGCCGCGCCGCCCGGCCTCGAAGCACCTTGATGAGGTGCCAGACCTCTGCTGATTTCCCTCTCGAGCTCGGCTAGAAATGGTCGACTACGTTAGCGGATCAGCCTGGGTGAAAGCCCATCACGTCCGACCTACTGTGAAGATGTACGGCTGCCGACTTCCCCGAGTGCAGCGCATGCAGGATGTTTGTGCGCAAGTCGGAGTTCGCGTCCCCGACGGCGTACACGCCCGGCATGCTGGTGCGCATGTCCTTGTCGACTACAATCTTGCTCTTGTCCGTCTTCAGGCCCAGCTTTCGGGCTAGGCTCGACCGCTGCTCACACGCGAAGGCGGTAAGCAGGACGCCGCGTTCAACAGGAGCGCCCGTCTCGAACTCGACGCGGAACAAGTCGTACTCGGGCGCAGTCGGCAGCGCAGGGTTCCTATCTGCGCGCCGGCCGTCTCGCAGCCTCGTGATGCGCGTCACGGTCCGGTTGTCCACCTTGACCCGACGCCTGTCCAGGTACGCGGACGAGTTCTCGGCGAACTCGGCCTCGGCGCGGGCCCGGTTCTCGTACGTGTCGGAGCCGTTTGCGAAGATGACGACGTCGCTGTTGAGCGTGGCCACCTCGGCCACGGCCTCTACCGTCTTGTCGAAGCGGCCCAGGATGCCCATGGCCTGGTCTGCGTGTTCGTGGCCGTCGCACCACGGACACCAGTAGATGCCCTGCCCGAAGTTCTGCTGCAGGCCCGGCGTGGGGGGCAGGAGATCCCACAGCCCGGTGGCAATGACGATCTTGCGAGCCGTGTAGGTCGAAGTCGAGCCTTGGAACGTCTTGGCCGTGACGGTAAAGGACGTGTCGTTGGCCTCGGGCCGGATGCTCGTCACGGTTCCGTTTACGGCATCGACGGTTCGGTAGTGGACGAGCTGCTGACGAGCCGACCATCGAAAGTACGCCGCCGTCACTCCTGTTTCCCCCGCGTACGTTTCGGATTAGACACTTGGTTTGTCTCTACTTTGGGCTACAAGCCAGGTTGCCAATGCAGGGTGGCTAGCCGCTGAACAGTGGTTGCCCACGCACCGTCAAACCCGACGACGTCGTGTATTCGCCGCGTAGGGCCGTTGCGATACTCGCCCGAGTCGATGAGCAACGCCGAGCGTCGCACGCGGCCGAGGGCACTGAGCGCGGCCAGTCCTGCCGGTCCACCGCCCACAACCACGGCATCGAAATCGTGTGTCGTCGTTGATGGCAATGCCTCCCGCTCTCCGCCGAGCGGGCTGGGGACAGCCCTCGCCAGGCAGGAGAGGCGGAGAATGAAGAGCAGTGCCGTCGTTGACAGCATCCTTTGTCCGCCCCTGACGATGTCTCTGGCGCTTTGGAATGCTGAGCCATTGGCCTCGCCAGGGCCGGGCTCGCTGTCCCCTTATGTATCGTGAATGCGCATGTGCACGTTGCGTTTGAAGTTTGAGCTAGTCATGTTGTCCACATGGAGCCCACGCCGCGAGATGCGCCGTGGCTTTGATGTCGGATGCAGGAAGGCAGACAGACGGCAGCCACCATGAAGGGGACCGTGACCGACGTGAGCATCAATCCATCGAATCAATGAGAAATCCGATGGTGCAGCTGACGTTGAAACAAGCAAGGGGGTACTAAACATGTTGACCAAACTCTAGACATGGTTTGTCCATGCTCAAAGAGGTGCCCGACAAGTGGTCGCATAATCAGTCATGGCGAGTCGTGTCGATTTCGCCTTTATGAGTAATGCGTCGTCTCAGTCGAGCTTGGCGCATGTACTCCGTAAAGCTGCCGCAACGGACTGAGTCGCTGGCCGGCCATTGTTTCTCGGCAGAAAGCGTTACGGTCGCACATTAGCTCGCATCTGCAAACGCTGCTACTATAATTTTCTAATTTTCTAATTTTTAGATTTTTTAAAAGTATAGAGTTATATAGAAAAAATTCCTTCTGCCTTAATATATAAATTAAACTTTATACTATAATTATTCTAGATTTATATTAAAACTAGTTTTATATTATTTCCAAATTATTTCTAAATTATTTCTAAATTATTTCTAAATTATTTCTAAATTATTTCTAAATTATTTCTAAATTATTTCTAAATTATTTCTAAATTATTTCTAAATTATTTCTAAATTATTTCTAAATTATTTCTAAATTATTTCTAAATTATTTCTAAATTATTTCTAAATTATTTCTAAATTATTTCTAAATTATTTCTAAATTATTTCTAAATTATTTCTAAATTATTTCTAAATTATTTCTAAATTATTTCTAAATTATTTCTAAATTATTTCTAAATTATTTCTAAATTATTTCTAAATTATTTCTAAATTATTTCTAAATTATTTCTAAATTATTTCTAAATTATTTCTAAATTATTTCTAAATTATTTCTAAATTATTTCTAAATTATTTCTAAATTATTTCTAAATTATTTCTAAATTATTTCTAAATTATTTCTAAATTATTTCTAAATTATTTCTAAATTATTTCTAAATTATTTCTAAATTATTTCTAAATTATTTCTAAATTATTTCTAAATTATTT